TTTATGGGGAAAAACAGAGCAAGCTATTGAAATATCTTCTGCTTTCTAAAGCTATAACTTATCTGGATCTCTAACTCACTTCCTCTTTATTAATAAACCATTTATTTTCACTGAGGTCAATGTATGGTAGCTAACATTTCATTGGACATATTTTAGTCCCAGCCTCTGGCCTTACACATCACCTCTTATACATATATGAAAAATATTATATTCAGATTGTTGTTCAGTGGTACAGATCGGTTTATGGCAAATCGAATGATATAAAATATCAGGTTGGTCAAACCATGGGTTGGGTTTACACGTAAAGTTGTAAACACTGGCATAAATGTAAGGCAAAAGGGCAAAGCTTTCAGAACTCACTGGGTGAATGTTCATGTGATGGGACTGAATGTTCTCTTTTCACATTTAATCCCTGTTCGAATCATAAAAGATCATACTGATACTGGTGAGTACGGGACTTTGTTTATTCTTTATGCTTGTAGATCAATATATGTTTATATTTGTATTACTTAACTGAATATATGTCTGCCTAGCTGTACTTTTTTATCTGTGCATTTCATGCAAAATACTCTTTTTGTAAGGGAAACGAAAAGGATACTTTTAACAATCTTTATTTTTTTATAAATTTACCATGTACATATATTTGCCAATTGCCATTACTTTACACGTAGCATGATCAATTCTACACACTTCATTATTCCAATGTATATATTTATCTACACCAGAGACTAACATAGAAAAGGCTATATTTCTTTCTAATTTCTATAGTATCACAACAATGTTTTATTTTAATTCCAATAAGGTTAAAGTCAGACAGGGGTCTCCACCAAAACGAGGCACCCCTATTTTCGATGTGATTTTATATGGTCAGAAGTCCAATGACAGCAATAGGGAATCTACCTCCATTGGAAAATGTATGTATGTGCGTGAGACCCAGGAAATCCCCCGATATTGTGATACACAATATTATAGAATCAAAAGAAATGAGTACAAATAAACCAATTACTGCAAAAAAAAATATAAAATGTAAAACTTTGAAATGGGTACAGAGATATTAAAATGATCAGTTCTCCAAAAGATTAATTGACTGAATATTTATGCGTATTAAATGGTTTATTTTCCTTGCATTCAGGCTTTTTCTATGATCCCCTTTTTTAAGCAGGCATATTGCTTATAGCAGTGTTTAGCATCTCTATTTCTTTGAATAATATTGTAGATAATGTTGTACAGGAAAATTCTGGGAATGTAAAAACAAGTAGGTGACTCTTATGTTTAACTGGGTAAACCAACTCAAATACCATTATAATGCAAAGCCTAACTATGGTTCTTTAAATGTTGGTATTAACTAACCCTTGGGCTAAAGCATTCCTTTCTCTCTCTGTATATGTTTGCATCTGTTAAATCTGTGTAGGTACAGTATTTTTGGAAAGAGTGCAAGTAATTATTAAACTCTACACTTAGAATAAATGTTTCTTTTTTAGGGGGGTGTCATGAGGATTAGGGGCTCTTTAAAAAAGTGGAGGAATGAGGGGTCGGCGGAGGCGGAAGCTGGGAAAGGGGAGGGATCATTCCCCCATTGCCCAGTAAACAGAATCCCTAACCCCACCCCCGGTGAGTTGATTTCCGAGAGTACGAGAGCACCCACTCAGCGATCAGTAATCCCAGGCCCCAAAAATAGCGACCCTGAACTGGGCTGACAGCAGTTACTTCGAGACCGTCACTGATAACCTTTACAACCCCCATCCATACTCACCTTGCTTTCTCTGTGTTTTGTATGTTCTGTTACTTTTCTGTTCTACTCTCTTTTTGTTCATCTTTATGGCCAATACCTGTCATTCCAACCATGGCTATCCTAGGCAAGGCACAAAAGACATACTTAATCAGATGTTTTTCATCTCTTAACACTCGCCGTCAATCAGAGGGTATTGTCGGATCGGTTTTTCTCTATATACAGTGGTACCTCGGTTTACAAACGCCTCTGTTAACATAATTTTCGGTTTGCAAATGAAAATCCATTGAAAATAATCGGCTTACAATTTTTTTTCGCAATACAAAGCATGTGTCCCCAGGATGCATTGCGACTGGGAGGTTTAAAGCGCCGCACCCGTGCCTGCTGGAGTCTGTGGGTTTTGGAGCCATTCTGGAAATGTTTTGCAGCAGTTTTGGGACTTTTTGGGTGCATTTCCAAGCGGTGGAAAGGTCATCTGAGCTTTGTCGTTTGCATGCATTTTACTGTGTGTTCTGCATGTAGGTTGATTTCCATGCCAGCTCATTTTGACTTTTTTCTGACCTCCAGAACGGATTAATTGGTTTTCAATGGATTCCTATGGGAAACTGCATTTCGGTTTACAAATTTTTCGCAATACAAAACGTCCCGGAGAACTGTTTTAAAGGGGAACGGTCACGTACAGTGATTATGTTTATATATTAACAAATATGTATGTGAGATGCGGAAAAGAAAATGAATCCACATCTCTTTATCCAACAACTGGGCGCCTCCATCTTGGCTCCCTATCAATCGTTGATATAAGAGCTGTGCTTGGAAACTTTGCAGTCAGCATATATGCAGAGAGAGAAGGGGAGATATGAAACAATGTTTTTATGTCTTTTTCTCAATTTTAATGTTTACCTTGGTTTTGCCTTGTCTGATCTGGATTATGATGTCATTTGCAAAACATTTACTACTATACTATAATTACTGCCCATAATGTCCTTTTGTCCCACTATGTCACCATATTCTTCACATAATTTATTTTGTTAATATCTATTTGTGCTTTTGTCTTGTCACTGCCCCCCCAATCACCATTCTATTTTTTTATCCCTGTAGTGTGTACTTTTGTCCACCTTCCTAACCCCTTAAAGGACCACTATAGTGCCAGGAAAACATACTTGTTTTCCTGGCACTATAGGGTCTCTAGGTCCCCCCCACCCTCTGGGCTCTAGGGGGTGGAAGGGGTTAATTTCTTACCTCCCCCCCCCCGCTGGGCTTCCTTTGCAGGGGAACTCTCCTCCTCCTTTTTGCCCTCATCGGCTGAATGCGCATGCTTTCCTATGGACGCTGGCTTCTTCTCACTGTGAAAATCACAGTGAGATGCGCGGAAGCGCCTCTAGCGGCTGTCAATGAGACAGCCACTAGAGGCTGGATTAACCCATTTGTAAACATAGCAGTTTCTCTGAAACTGTGAGAGGTGTGCCGAGAGCACTCCTTTCCAACTGTCACCTGGGCTTAGAACACACCTCAGTATATTAGAACACTCATATATCAGGACTCTAAGGCCTATTATGAACCGCCAAAGGGTGCACAGAAAAGCCCCGCAATGAGGAACTATGGTCTATACCAGGCATTCCCAAACTCTGGCCTTCCAGATGTTGCTGAACTACAACTCTCATGATTCTCAGCCTATTTCATTCATAGAATCATGGGAGTTGTAGTTCAGCAACCTCTGGAGGGCCAGCGTTTGGGGAAGCCTGGTCTATACTGTACAGTAGTCATTAAAACTGGGTCATATTCACTATCTTTACAAATATTTCTAAAATACATATGATATGCCCATTTCCCATACAATGATGCAGAATCTATTCAATCTATATAAATAACTTAAAATAATAATTATATCTTGCAGGGTTCGTTAGAGATCTCCAACTACCGCCACTAATACGCAAGGTTTGTTCATCCACTTTTTTTTTTTGCAAACAAAATTAGTTTTGATTATTCAACACAAAAATACAATAACTAAATGTATGAGTCTCATATGCATAAATACCTGTGATGTGAATTACAGCATCAAGTCAATAAACCAAATCCTGAAAGTCTCTACGATAAAGGATTACCAGTAAAACAACTACCTATTATGGACAAAGTGAGAATGCAGAAAAGTGGGAGAGGTTCATCCAGCCGACAAAAGGTAGACTGTTTTATTCTTATATAAAACATAATTCATTGTATAATACTTTATTTCCTTATATACAAGATAACAGTAAATGTGGCATACCTTGCAAGCAAGGCTGCCAGAAATTGCAATGGAAAGATAGAAATGGTTACAATGGCAAGCACGGCCATAAATGTTTTTTGACCCTTTAAAAAATAAATAAAAAAATGCTACACGTTTGCTAACATAATGTTTACAAGAAATTTAATGCTTTGAATTTTAAATACAATTTTAAGGTACCACGAAATGTACACTTTAAAGGGGGTATATCTAAAAACACCTTGCAAAAACTGCAGATCTCTTGTCTGCAGCCTTTGCAAGACCTCCTCTTCTTACCCCGTCCATATTTTTTGTGGCTGTCCAATCACAGACTTCCCAATGCAGCTCAATGAAAAGTCCTTGCAAAACAGATGTTCTGGGAAATTGCTGCCTCTTGGGTTTAACTCCACTAGAAGATCACAGTATTGAAAATAAAATAAAACTAGTAGGCACTACATATGTATACTATATATATATAGTATATATAGTGCCAGCAAATTCAGTAGCACTGTACAAAGGGTGGACTAACACACCTAATTGTAACCAGATAAGTGGACGCACAGGAACAAAGGACTTGAGGGCTCTGCTCAATGTGCTTACATGCTAGAGGGAATAGGGTATAGTGACACAAAGGGTATAAGTAGGGGTGACGAAATAGGTTGCTAGAAAAGTATTCACTGAGAACTTTGTAAGTTATTTTTGACAGTTGCAGGAAAGGAGTCATGGTGGGGGGAGGAGGGGGAATGAAAACCTGCCAACAGTTTAATTGATACGCTTTCCTGAAGAAGTGTGTTTTCAAAGATTTTTTGATGGAATGGAGACTGGGTGAAAGTCTAACGGAGAACGGAGTTCCACAGAAAAGGTGCATCCATGGAGAAGTCTTGGAGGCGAGCATTTGATGTCGGAGTATGGACAGAGGATATACGTAGGTCTTTGGCAGAGCGCAGGGGCCTCGCAGGGACATACTTATGTATTAGGGAGGATAGGTAGGTTGGAGCAGCATTATGTAGGTAGGTACCTGTATGAAAGCACCAGAATCTTAAGAGCCCTATAGCTAACTGGAAGACAATGTAGGGACTGACAGAGGGGAGAGGTGTGGGAGGACAGGAAAATGAGCTTCGCCGCCACATACGTTATAGATTGCAGCGGTGCAAGCTGGAAACACGTAAGACCACTGAGAAGGGGATTGCAGTAGTCAAGGCAAAAGAGAACAACGGCATGGACCGGCACCTTGATAGCGTCTGGTGTTAAACAGGGGCGGATGCAAGCTATATTTTTGAGATGGAAGCGGCAGGATTTAGAGATTGATTGGACATGAGGGGTGAAGGAGAGGTCTGAGTCAAAGAGAACACCTAGGCAGCGAGACTGCGAGGTAGAGGTGATGGCATATATATAGCACATACATGCTATATAGCTCTCTAGTAAAGACTACACGTAAATGTGACATTCACAACTTGCTGATGAAGGTATAAAAGCGTGTGTTGGTCTTAATACTGCGTGAGGTCAAGGATATGTTATTCACCACAGTCCCACTCACTAGTATGCACAAGGTGGATGTTTAAATAGTAATTATATAATTAACTATCCTGCAGCATGTGAATGCTACATACCAGTATTCATGTGTTACACAGGCACATGAAAAACTACAATGTATCCAGAAAAATAAAATGGTGGATTAGGCCACCCTAGATACCATGTCACCTTATTGAACTAATGGGGCTGTTGGCTAAAACGTCAATAATCAGGATTGGGGGGGGGGGGGTCACATCTTATGCAACACGTGGAAAAATATAAACAAATTAGCCATTTTTCAACATTGGGCTAACATTTTAAATACAATATTTAATGGCTGGCGCTGCCCTGCCAGAGATTTTAGTGAATATCGCCCCTTGTGGCGTAGATTCCCGCAAACTCAGCCATTCTTCTTCACACAATTCCTCTGACAGCTTCCTTCTGTCATGCCATGCCATCGCACCGTCTGACAGGAAGCCATACTGTCACCCTGGCAGCCCACCCACAGCCCCTCCCTGTAATCCCCCCTGAGAGCGCTTTCCCACAACAAACATGGCGGACAGCAGCCACTTCTTCCCGCAGTTACCGCGTTCTAAACACAAGAGAGACGTCCGACTGCTGTGATCGCGGCTAAGCTATCGGATCTCCAGGCGCCTCGCCGCGCGATACGTCTCCGAGAGCCAATCTCTAGTGTTTGGAACTCGGCGCGTCCAGCGTGAAGCAGGTGACGTCAGCGCGCAGGATCCGACAAGGACGTCCCGGGGCGCAGCGGCCTCGGCAAGAGCCCCGCCTTCCGTTGGATGACGTGTAGCAGCGCCCCGCCTCTCCTCCCCCCCTCCTCCCTCCCGCGGCTCTATCGCTCTTCCCCCTTCTCCGAGGTTGCGGGTCAGTGGAGACGCCGTCTGTCAGCGCTGAGCCGCGATCACAGCCTTCCTCAGCCGCAACCAGCGACCAGTCAGGGCGACACCGCCAGCACCCACCGGGCACCATGGTGAGAGGGCGGGGGAGGGCAGCTGGGTGAGGGCCGCATTGCAGGGACCGCACGGTGTGTGTGTGTGTGTGTGTTCACCCCGGCCCTCAGGGGCCTCCTGCTGGATACATCCCCTGTCTCCCGCCCCAGGCCCGTGAATAGCCTGGCTGTCTGTCTATCTGTCTCCAAGGCTGGCTGTCTGTCTCCAAGGCTGGCTGTCTGTCTATCTGTCTCCCTGGCTGGCTGGCTGTGTGTCTATCTATCTGTCTCCAAGGCTGGCTGTCTGTCTATCTGTCTCCCAGGCTGTCTGTGTGTCTGTCTCCCTGGCTGGCTGTCTGTCTGTCTCCCTGGCTGTCTGTCTGTCTCCCTGGCTGGCTGTCTCTCTGTCTGTCTGGGCTGTCACTGGCATGGTCCTCAGATTATAATATTATTATTATTATTATTAATGGCAGGTGAATGACTGCAGTGGGGATGGTGGGAGTTATATCATGGCTGTATTTAGAGATTGCCATTGTATTCTGTATAACATAACTAGTGTAAATATACAGGATCCAATACTATGGGATAGGGAGGGGTGCTCACTGTTTATATAAACCTACAGGTTTTACCTTGTGCTTCCTGACTTTTTTTTTTTTTTTTTAATATTTATTATGTTGCAGAATATACTGCAATGCAGCATCATTTTTATTACCACTCTGGCTGCTAAGGCTGCTCACGTCTTGGGTACGAGTTCTCACACCCTAAAGAAATAAAAATAATTAAAAAAAAAAAAAGGGTGTTGTGGTTCCTAAACTGACAATATACGTTACTGCCCAACCCTGCCCATAAAGGTTTTAAAATGGGGGGGAGGGGAAGAAGGGGCAGTATGGAGGACCCTGTCTTGAAAATGGGCAGGTTCACTCATGTTGTAGACATAAATCCTGTGTCCAGGAAACCCTAATATTTAACATGTTGGTCTGAAAGTGGAGATGCTGCCTTTAACGTGTTCTTATTTACTATGTGCATATATGCCCGCCATGTATATATTGCGGCGGTATGGTGTCATTTCCTGACACTTGTCAATTTGATGATAATTATTTCCTTCATCCTCTGTTTTATAAGGTGTGGATACAGTGGTGACAAAAGACGATGGCTGTCCAGTTGTTGCTGCCCATGTTTGTTTTGATACTCTGGCAGCATGGCTGTGAATACCAGCTTACTCCACAATAACTATAGAGTGCCAAAGGTTTACTATCAGTGATGTGATCTAGAAAAAACCTAATAACTGTATGTGCCTCAACCCTACCATCTATTATAGTAGATTGTTATCTATAATATTATGTGATAAAAGGGATGGCAAGCAGCATTTTTTGTTTTTAGAAATATACAGCAAAACTAAGCTTTTCTGTTTTGTTATTCTGACACGTTGTGTATTGGTTCAGGATTCTGTCAGCCAATGGGTTAAAAATGACAATGGCGCAGGATCCAGAGTCAGTGCAGTTGAGGAGGCGAGCGAAGAATATGGGAGGATATAAATACCATAATGAGGCTTATTTTTCTTCCAATTCACCTTGTTCTCTACAGGCTATGCTTTTCTACTCTTTACCTGATTTACCCCTTGGCTATCTTTGTTGTTATGACTTGAGTGGCATTGACCCATTTTATTTGGATGGTTATTTTCATTAATCTGCATTGTGACACAAGGGTGCTATTAGTTTAAGGCCAAGCCCTTTGCAGTAATCTTCAAACAGTTGCAGTATACTGGTTGGATTTATTCTTGTCAACACAAATTAAATGTCTTCTTTGGCTGCAAGAAGACTGCAGTGAGAATCATGCTATTGGAGCTACTGCCCCATAAATCTTTGTTCTCCGCCTTTTAATGTAAATAGACATTGTGTTTTTGTGGGTATGAGACTAGAAATACAGTGGAATCATATGGCATTTATTTAGTTTAGCAGAATGTTATCTTAAAATCATTATCGAGCAGATAGGGTTGCTAATTTTGGATGTGTTTTTAAATGTCACAGTTAATGGATATTTTAATTGTACAAATTGTATTTCTTTTACCCATCCTCCTATTGCTGTATGTCTATAATCTATCCTAAAATATATTTTTATTCTCATATCTCTGATAATCTGAAGCTGTATCATAAGAAGATTCATTGTTTTCCTTCTTGCTTTAAATGGGGAGAAATATCACAGATTTTTAATTTATATGCTTTTTTTTTTTTGCATTTACAGAGGATACCCACTTTATATTTTTTAATGTAATTATGAAAATAAGCTGTCATGTATTGCTTTTTTCTTTTTGCACATTAACCTTTACATTTGTTAAGTGTTGGTGGTATTGGCCTATGTTATAGAACTTGTTTACACGCTTATACAGCACGTTAGTAAATCCTTTTTTTGCAACATGAATACACATACATTTCCTAATTTAGAACAGTGCAAATATGTGCTTCAATATTAATGTAAATGCTCAAAACACTGGTGTGCATACATATCTAGATATCCCCATTAGATTGTGCTCAGGTATTCAACTATACCTGTGTGCTTGTGTAATTGTTTGGTCGTATATATTCTATAAAATGCTGGTGATTTTTGAAGATTAATGATATGCTTTATTATTTTCTATTTAAAATATATTCATAATACTGAAAGTTTATTTGTATAATATAGGAACGACTCATTGTTTTGCTTGTATTCCACGATATTCAGAATTTTTGTTCAGGTTTGAGTTTAAGAACAGTAACCACTACAGCTTAATTAAGTGGATTTTCTCTAGATACCACATCTCCCCTATTGAGAACAGTTTACCAGGAATACATACTATCCAGGCTTATAGTCTTGCCCCTCGTACCTGGCTTTATACTGCAGAAGTGTCACTTTTGCTTTACCTTTCCAGTATTTGATATTGATAGGCTTTATTAGATGGTTTCGAGGGCTCATAGCCTATGTATGTTGTCCAAAGGATTTATATGGTTAATGCAGAAGTGAAAGTTTCACATTTTGTAAACCGCACTGGATTTGAGTGTTATGAGAACCCAAGAGGTTTGACACCACCTCACCAAAAAAAAAAAACCAACCTAAAACCCCAATACAAACTGGGTAGCAACTGAAGACTTCTTGCTCCATAACCATTACAGCAAGCTGTATTGTGTCCCTACTAGAGTAAAAATTCTACCTGGGAAAACCAATAAACTAACCAGGAGTAAGTAGATATAGTGAAATAGAAAATGCAAATATAAACGATAAAATATAACAGGAATGGAAAAATAGAAATAAAGATAAAAATGAATGAAAAGGAAAAATACAAATAGATCCAGGTATGCTTCTAAACAGTGATATCGTAAAACAGTCAAAAAATCTTAAACAATCTTGAATGTATATTGCACATTGATCAAATTTTAAAGTGGTAAAACACTTAAACGTTTATAATCTGAGGCTTTATCAGCTAGGTGTGGTCCCAAAAAGATTGCCTACTATTGTATAGGCAGGAGTATATACTGGTGAAGCGGAATGTAATAGAGTATCAGTCTTATATCCTAAAATGAAATATAAACTGATACATAAATCATAGAATGATAGTCTAAATCAGGATATTGAATAATTTGAAACCAGAAAGTTCTTGCAGTATACAGAGTCTGTGCCAGATTTTATAATACTCAATACAAAAACATAGTGCTCGCTGGTAGTGATTTAAAAAAAAGATAAAAATGCACTTTCAAAAGTGGTTGCATATGATACCAGATCGGGAGCCTACAGTCCAGAAGATCCTAGTAGCTTCCTCCGGCCGGATCAGGGGAAGTGTGGATCTCTGTGAGGTGTCAGACACTGGATGTTAACCATGTGCATTCCACTGCGGCTCGGGATGCGTTCCACTTGACTGTCTTCGGAGTACTTCGGCTATAGTGCTTTCCTTACGCGTTTCGTGATCGGTTGATCACTTCATCAGTGTCCCTTCTAGAACTAGTCTTTTTGCCATTTTTGGGGCTTGTCTTTTTTTCTTCAAAGATCTACAAGGTGATTTGACCTCCTATATATGATGTTGCTGGGGGAGAGTGGAAATTAAGATATCCTTATCTGTACCTCTCTCTAGTCTGCAGTGTTACTATCATCTTCTGCAACCTGCTCTTCAGATTCTGGTGACTTTGCTGCAAGCTGAATTATTGGCTTGTCCCCTTTTATTTTTAAGAGTAACTGTTACTGATGATTGTTTACCTTTATATACCTAATGTAAATCAATTTGTTTGCCTCTGGAGGTGATAAGCTGAAGTATTAACCCCTTCAAGACCAGACTGTTTTTGCGATGTTTGTACGTTAAGGACCAGAGCTATTTTAACGCTTTTGTGGTGTTCGTGTTTAGCTGTAATTTTCCGCTCTCTCATTTACTGTTCCGATACAAATTATATATATTTTTTTTTTTTCAGGACAAAAAGGGCTTTCTTTACATACTATTATTTTTTATCATGTAATTAAAAAATAATATAAAATATGGTGAAAAATTAAAAACTATTTTTTTTTTTACTTTAAATCTTTTACTGATCTACAAAATCAAATGAAACAAACTGCTAAATAGATTCAAAATGTTGTCCTGAGTTTAAAAACACCCAGTGTTTGTGTTTTTTTTTTTGTTTTTGTTTTTTTTGGCTTTTATTTGCAACTTATAGGGCTGTAATTACAAGCAGGAAATTGCTGTTTTCAAAATGTATATTTTTCAAATGTATCAATAGTGACATTGTAACACTGTTATGTCATAAATCTCCAAAAAACACCCCACATGTATATATTTTTATTAAACTAGATAACCCAGGGTATTCATCTAAGAATATTTTGATACTTTCTATGCAGCCATTTTACCACAAACCTTTGCCAAACTTTGCATAGGTAGTTTATTTTGTATTTTTTTTCACATACATTGCAATTCAGGTATAAATTCAGATTCTGTTAGGTGTCACTGCCAAACACCCCAATATGTGTTCAGTAACATCTCCCGAGTACAGGGATACCCCCCATGTATAGATGTGTTGGGTAGTTTGGGGGCTAAATGGCCACATTTTGCAGGTGCGCATATCAGTTTCCCAGCTTGGAATTTTGACATGTAGTCAACCTGCATGCACGTCCTATTTGGGACTTTTTTTGAAGCCGGCCAGTGTATTTTTACCCTCATCAAACCATATATTTGTGAAAAGTAGACACCCTAGGGTATTTCACATGGTGGTATTTTAACACTTTCCATGCACCAATTCTACCACCAGGCTTTGTCAAACATTGAGTTAGTAATTTTTTTTTTTTTCACACACATTGTACTTTAGGCATAAATTAACAGATGCTGTTATGTATCCCTGCCAAACACCCCAATATGTGTTCAGCAAGATCTCCTGAATACAGTGATACCACCCATGCATAGGCTTGTCGGGTTCTTTGGGGGCTAAAAGGCCACCTTTTGGCAGGTGCGCTTATCAGTTTCCCAACTTGGAATTTTTACATGTAATCAACCTGCATCCATGTCCCATTTGAGCCAATGTATTTTACCCTCATCAAACCATATATTTTTGAAAAGTAGACAACCCAGGGTATTTTAAATGGTGGTATTTTAACACTTTTCATGCACTGAATTCTACCACCAGCCTTTGTCAAACTTTTGGGTAGTAATCTTTTTTTTGTTTCTTTGTCACACACATTGTACTTTAGGCATGAATTAACAGATCCTGTTATGTGTCACTGCCCAATATGTTCAGCAATATCTCCCGAGTACAGTGATACCCCCCATGTATAGGGTTGCTGGGTTGTTTGGGGGCCAAAAGGCAACAATCAGTACTTGTACATGTCCGTTTTTCAACTTGATATATAGGTATGCTTGGTCTATCTTCAGTTTGACATATTTTTGCACCCCCCCCCTCCCCCAGTTAATGTTACCATCATGACAGTATATATAGTATATATTTTTATAAAGTAGACATCAAAGGTTATAACGATGGGGTGTTTTGACTTCTTTCCCCCAACCATTTTGCCCCCCAAAGAAAGTGTAGTGGTAATAATTCTGGTTTTGGCCAGCTGGTTATGTGTTACTGCCAGAAAACTTGTTAGACCAAATGTGCAGGTAGCAAATGTACATTTAGCAGCAATCTTTAAACTGACTCCTGCAAATAGAATCTAACTGGAGATTTGGGGGAAGGAAACTTGCTAACAAACAATGGCTGCTTTCCAAAGAAACAAAAAATAAAATAAAAATTCAGGAACACTTCTTACAACTGTTCCGTGTGGTACAGCTTGAAACTTGTTCCTACACACAGTCCTGGTTTCGAAGGGCAATCGGGACAGTGAAAAGGGGTGTCTGTCCTTTTCACGTTTTTAAAACAGACCCGGCAATGTTTCTGGGTTTTGTTTTTTTTTTTAGTAGTTGGCGGTAACGTAAAAATAAAATGTCTGGACTCAGCTTGCACCGTTGTTGGAACTTGTCCATCTCCATAAATTGTTAAATAAATTTTCAACTGAAATTGGAGAAAGGTGGGTTTTCCCTGGATAATTTTTTTTTTTTTTTTTTTTTTAAAGCAAAAATGAGTTGTGGGTTGCTATTTGCATCATATAGATAGCCACCTTTTTATACCATGCTTTGGTTTTTTGTAAAATAAGATATGCCTGCATCAGCTGATCAGCCAAATCAACACCCCCCATGTACTTATTATATGCCCTGATGCAAACCGGTTTGGACTCTACTCTGCCCCGGACATAGATGTCTGACATGCGTTCGTCATGGATGGTGGTTAGCATGTTGACATCCTTCCTGTCACTAAATTTTAGTGCACGCACTTTAGCTTTGCGAAGTGCTTTACATTCGCCTTTTTTTTTATTTTGTCTCTATGAGAGATCGTGGAAAGTCTTTGGAATTTTTTCTGGCAGTGCCGCAGGCCAGTGTCTGTAAACCATAAAGTGTTTTAAACAGAGAGACACTACTATAAAAAATATCCACATAAAGGTGGTAACCTTTATTAAACAAGGGGTTTAGTAGGTCCCATACAAGTTTCCTACTTGTCCCCAGGGAGTCAGGACAGCAAGGAGGGTCCAGTTGACCATCTTTCCCCTCATATACACAAAAGGCAAATGTGTTTCCACTTTCGCTCTTGCACAGTTTGTACAGTTTTATGCCATACCTAGAGTGCTTTGAGAGGATGTATTGTCTGAACCCTAATCTCCCTTTGTATTTCATTAGAGATTCATCTATGGATAAATTTTGTTGAGGGGTATAAACATCCGAAAATTTGTCCTGAAAATGGTATAGCAGTGGGCGTATTTTATAAAGCCTATCGTATTGGGGGTGATCTCTAGGGTGACAGAGGGTATTGTCACTGAACTGTAAAAATCTCAGCAGTAACTCGTATCTGGCTCTAGGCATGGTTTGGGAGAATATTGGACTAGACATTATTGGGTTGGTGCCTCCAGTATGAGCAAATCGATGGCTTCCTTATAATCCCTATGAGCATTGTAAGAGCCTAAAAAATTTTAAGCTCTGGGACATCTGTGGGATGCCACTCATGCTCCCTGACTGTATAGCTACCTGGATTGTTATCAATAAATTGGGTAGCATACAAGTTAGTCTGGGAAGCAATCTCCTCCCAGATGGTATCTCCTAAAAATAGTTCTACATACTGCATTGGGGAGAAGCCATCCACATTAACATTAATGGGGGACGTTGGGCTTGGCTAACTGTGGAGGTACCCAGTCCTCCTCCACATTTGGCGTAGCAGAGGAAGCACAGTTTCTTTCTTCAGCTGGCTCACACACAGATGACATGTCGTCTTGCCTCCTGCAAGTTATACATACGCTGCATGTTTTACACACGCCGAAAACAAATTACAAACACACAAAAAAATTTAATACTTTTTTCTTTTCTCTTTTCTCTCTTTTTTTTACTAAAACAGTCTAAACAGCAATCCCTAAACTAACTCCTGTCACAAAAATTTAATGGAGATTTGGGGGAAGGAAACTGACAGACCAAGACACAGATTTTTAAAACAAATTTAACCCTTTAAGGGCAAAAAACCCCAATACAGACCGTACAAATGCACTGCTGTAACAGATCTGGCAGGGAAGGGGTTAAAAGGGATTTTTTTTTTTAAATTCACTCTAGATACTGTATAAAGCTCTGGAACACTTCTGCTGCAACAAACTATCACATTCTTTCTCTCTCCACTCACAAAACGCTACAGAGGAGAGAGGGGCAGAGATCACTGTCAAAGTGAGTGTTTGTAACACCCACTTTGACAACAGCCAATTGTGAGCGATCGCGGATCGCTCACACGCCGCAATTGGCTGTTACTATCTGCCTGGGATGTCTGGCAGATAGTTAGTGTTATACTGGCGGGAGCGATCTTTGATCGCTTCCCGCAGCTTGTTTTTCGCTATGACGGTTCAGGACTTTTTACCGCTGACGGTCCTGAACCATCAGCGGTCCTGAAGGGGTTAAAGCAGTCTTACCTCATCTGCACATCTGGGTAAATAATGCCACCATGCCTTACAGTCTCGCAGAATAATCACGTGAAGGGGGGATATTGTAGATATAATGCCGTTCTGTGTGTTGTTTATGGAGTTAATGCAAGAAAATAAAAAAAATTATAAACAACCCCAAAACACTGAAGAATAAAGGCCATCTAATAGATACTTTTAGTTTACCCCCAGTATGATTGTCATTTTAAAAAGGGACAATTTAAGCATCTGTATCACAAAAATACACATATAAGCCTTGTCTAAAAAAAATTTCAAACTAAGTACATGTGTTTTCAGAGGGAAAACAAACACCGTGGATAATGTTACGGGAATATGAGTCAGAGAGTCCAAAGAAGTGTTTTCTCTCGTGTTTATTAATTTTCATTTCAGGCAGTCGGTTACAGTCCATTAATGAGAATATTCTTGCACTGTTAACAATGGGTTACATGGAATATTCAAGCAGTCCTGACAATATGCAACCTGCATTTTCTGTAAACAGACATATAAATGCATGCTCATGGGAATGTAAGCAATTGATTTTCATTCATGCACTTTAAAGCACACTGTCACTTCTGAGGTATTTGCATTTTCTACAAAAACCATACACTGTGACATGTTTGAGCTCCCATCAGTCACCTACTCAAAGCAGTTAGGGATATACATACTTACCTTAAAGGAAAGCTATAGTTTTGGGAATTACATTCCTTACGCTGTAATGTTGGACTACCTAAGAAGCTGACCGGCCTGCTCACAATGGAGTAAAAAGGTATTTGGAGCAATGGGAGGCTATTGCACATGTGCTGCAAAACACTACTGGCGACTGCATCTGCTATGAGCTATCGCCACCACTGTACATTCGTGGGCATGGAAGATTACAAAATGGTGTCTGTGAAGGATTTAGTGAAACAAAGGGTTCTTCCATAGATAATCTTGCATAAATGCATTAAGGTGCCAAAGACCTTTATTTTGCAAGGTAATGTCTATTCCTATCTGACCCCTGAAATGAAATGGAGGCTGAAACTTTTTATTTTATTTTTTCAAACTTACACGAGACAAAGTAATCCCTACTTTGTCTTATGCACTTCTTTAGATCTTAGGGGATGAAAACCTCAAAACAATAACAACCTGGTTTAAAACTTTTCCATTGTTTTTATTTTTTCCCTTGATTTGAGAGAATCTTGCGTGCTTGATGTTAGGTTAGTAAACATGGTAATGTGTGATGACAAACACAGCTTTTCTTACCAATGCAACTAATTGGTTAAAATGGAATCTAGGGGTTGGCTGGTTGGTAAATCCCAGACTGTCTGTGCATAATGTCAAGTGCAGTGTATAATTTCCCTGTAGAAGAGATTCAGACCGGTATCTATTCTTTGAAGAGGTGTTTTTTTTTTTTTTTTTGGTACAGTGATCAAATGAGACCGCATATCAATAAGTGTTTACAATTGTAAATTACTTTGTACTCTCATTGTAGTATTGTGGGTCTCTTTACCCCATCTGCATTCCTTATTTAATGTATTGTGTGATGTCACACATACTGGTAGTAAAGGCTAAATCTAAACTTGGATAGCTAGTTAGTGAATATTTTTTGTTTAAGTAGAAATCATTCCATATTTCTGTTCTGTCAGTCAGTGCTAATAACTGAGACATATGTGAAATATAATGCACTGTGCATCCCTGTTAATATAATCAATGGTTTAAAACCTCTGTTTATTATTAAAAACCGGTCATTCACCAACATATGAATCTCAAATTTTAGGCCAAAATAACCGAAATTGAACTATTGTCCAAGTCTGCGGTTTTTCCAGTTTGACTTTGTCCTAAAATATGACTTCACTTGCTAAATCTGCATTTCTGACCAACTTTTTAGTGAATAACCTAATTAATGTGTATGTATGTGAAAATAATCAATGGTGGTGATCCATTCGTGAAAAGGGCCAAAGTAAACTCTTCGCCTGCTTGATTGTCTCTCTTCCTCTTGGAAGTGGGTTCATAGCCCAGTACTCTCAGCGTATCATTGCCATCCAGGTGGGAGTGGATCACATAGGGCAGAAGTGTTGCCTCTGCATTATCAGCGTGGCTAAAGAAGTGTGATGTTCTATGTATGGGTACTAGGAAGTGCGACAGCTTTGTAGGTAGAATTCTGTTGTATGGCTGTTTAATTTCTAGTCACCGTGGCGACCTATTTTATGGAACCCAAAAGGTGTTTGCAAGAGTGAAGATGTTTTATTTTTTGTATTTTATTTTAATTTACTTGTCCAAGGGACTGAAGTGGTTGCCCAAGCTACTTGTCAGTCATGACAATATACTTGTCCTGACACAAAATAACTTTAGTTACAAAGATTGAGGAGCTTCCAAGAGCCCTGCACATTGACAAGGCTATTTGCTGAACTCAGAATTTTCACAAATTATACCTGAATGGAAAAATTGGGGCAAATATAGTTTATCTCGAAAAAATATCTTACTCTGCTATATACACAACATAGCTATTTTAGCCTCCGTTTTACTACTTGGATGTATTTTGCAAAAATTCACAGTTTTGTAAATAACCCTGTCTCAAGTCTACAATTCCATAGTCTCTCCCTTTGTCACAGTGTGAGTGCTGACTGTGATTTATGTGGAGTGTATGTGATGTGTGTGTGTGTGTGTGTGTGTGTGCGTGTGTGCGCCATCTGTATATGATTTGTGTGGTGTGTGTGTGTGTGTACCGGCTGTATGCCACTTGTGAACATGTGCTCATGCTGGCTGTGTGTGATTTTGTGTGGTGTGATACACTTTCTGATACAAACACTACCCCGTACACAAACACACTGCACACCTGTAGAAAAAAATAAAGGGTTCCAGGCGCTCTAAATGAATAAAAATACAAGTGCAGTCTAAAAACACTCCAAGTGTATTGTCACCAAGTACGCTTATATAAACACCGAAATAGTTAGTGTGCAGTCTGTTTTTCTCCGCCATGCACTGTAAATGCCTTTTGTAGCTACTATTGATAACTTGATCTATATAATATTGTTGTCCTTTAGACCTTCAATATCTTGTGGGCTAGCTTGAGGGAACAAACAGCTAGTTATTTCCAGTGTTACTTTTTGTATTCATGAATTTAGTTTGCTTATTTGGTGAGGAGAGCGATTTCACCAACTGCCATAAAGAACTCATTTTTAGACACAATCACATGTCTTTTGCTATCTCTTATCATTTGTAAAATCAGCTATATACTTGCAAACTTGATACACATTTTGTGCAATACTAAAAGATATGTTGTGTGCGGCATTTTCTCTTATCCTAGATTATTCAGTTTTACTGTTTCTTAAAGGGATTCTCTAAGTACCAAAACCACTTAGAATATTGTTGAATATATATTCTGTCTCTTTTCTTGGGTAATGTAAAACTTTACAATTTCTAAATGTTTGTGTTTGGCCTAAAGCACACTGACAGGCTCGCGCACGCTCTCTGACAGGCTTCTAATGATTTACCGCTTAATGAAATGCATACAAAGACGATGTTGGAATTTTATTGAAATTTCTACTTAGTCACATGATATTGTAAAGTAGGCGGAGCTACTTTTTGTCAAGCCCTCAACCAGAGGGCTGAAGGGGACAAAGGGCTAATTCTATGGAGGGTCTTGTCGGATCGTCCATAGCTGTCAGTATTGTACTTTCGATCCTGTGTGAGAGTACAGCACTGTAGTCAGCTGCTGGCATATAATTGTCAAGAGCTGGAGAGGAACTCTTGAAAGAGGATAGTGGCACTCGTGGGTAACAGATTCAGATAATTAAAAAATGCAGCCCGCGGCCAACTCGGTGCAAGTGCATTCACTATCGGGGGTCTATACAAGCACCCCTCTAGGTGACAGCCATTTCAAGTAAGATGTGTACGCATTTCACAATCTTTGACACCACCTTAGAATGCTTTGTGTGTCAGTACTCATAGTTGAACAGCGCTGCGGAATCTGTGGGCACTTTATAAATACCAGTAATAAATAAAAAATAAAAACCCTGAACATTTTGAGATGTCACAAGTAAGCAGGCAAGTCCTTTTTTGGCTGAAATCTGCCGTTTGAAATAAATTGTTTATAGTAGCTTGCTTGCCATTTGGCTAACTCAATATACAGGTTCTGTAACGTGTTGCCTACTTTTTTCCACCCATTTTTTTTTTTTTTTTCATGACTGGTACTCTATAAACAACAACAAAAAAAGGTTGTCGACCTTGTGTAAATACATTGTCTGCAATCCCGGATGGCAAATTATGCAGCTACCCCAGCATAAGGTGGTATATGGAATTATATAGCAATGTTCCAAAAACACAATTTACTCACTTTAATTCGGTCTCGATATTTCCAAAGACCTTGGTGTTGGTGATTTAGTTCCTCCAATCCACAGAAACTCTGACAGTACAGATGCACTGCACTCAGAAAACCCATAAGTCAAGAAAAAAACAAACAAAAAAAAAAGTTTCTCCTCCTCTCAGATGCTTTACCAACCTATTTTCTGAGTTTCTGATTAATCCAGTACTATGTTCATTCTCTGTAGTTTTACTCCGGGAAAACTTCCATTGCTATGTTTAGTTAACACCTGTGTCAACACCACCATTGTTTTCTATGCACTTTTAATGTTCTTGAATGGGCCTGAAAAGTATGTGTTTGTGTTTTACCATGCTTGCAGATTGAACATGGTGTGTGTAGAATTTATCTTTATAAACTCCCTATTGCAACCAATACAAATGTTCCTGATTCATATCCCTGATTTGAGGCTGATTTATTCAAAACTTAGTAAGGAATTAAGTTCCAATCAGTTTCCAAATTGGTTCCAAATTTTAGAACGAAGGCCTCCATTTAGTATTGTTGGATAAGGTTTTAAAAGTATTTAATATTCTGGAAAACATTAAAATGTGTAATTATTAAGTATGTATGTATGTGACTATTTTTTGGGTACACATTTTTTTTTATATTTAATATTTGAGATTCTGATATGTTGAAAAGGAGGTAATTGTAAAAGTTCATTTAAAAAAAAATATATATTTATATATTATATAATATCTCTTACTCAACAATCTTAATTTGAGATTTTAATTGACATGCCTGGCCACTGGACAGGAATGAAGATAAAGAACACAGATGAAGATATTTACAACTAGCGGGTGTAAGGATGGGCAAAGAGAAGGGTTGGGTAAAGCAGACATTTGTTGTAGGGATTGACTGATATAATTTTTTTTTTCCTGTCACATTTTGGCCGATTGACGATATTCTGTTCAATTAAAGTATTGAAAAAGTAACACAACTTACTGTATACACAAATCATGTATTAAGTGAACATGCTGGTAGCAATCACTCCTATCCCTCTAAGGCAACCAGTGCATGCTGGGATCAGCGAGATCCCAGCATGTACAGTGCTGTTACTGATCACACTCCTATTACTCTATCAGCCAGCCTAGTACATTTACAGTACCGGTATATTAGAAACGGTCTCACCTCCCTGCCTTCAGCTGAACTTCACATGTGCGATCTCACAGTAAAAGGTGGTATGTGATCACGTTGTGATGCTTCATTGAATGGCGGCTAGAGTTTTCAGATGCATAAGACAGCGTGTGGTGACTGGGAGAGTTGAGCAAGTTATCGATAAATTTAAATGCCAATACAGATTATTGGTAAAATACTTAATATTGGCTCTAATAATCGGTGGAACTGATATTTGGTCTATCTCTAGTATGTTATATACAATTGGCTTTTGACAACCAAAGTAACTATATGTACATGAAGTATTGGTGAAATACTTTAATTGAAAATAACAATGAAAAACTGCAAGTACAAACAGTTACTGTGTAAAGTCTGCTAGATGCAAAATCTAATCTTAGTCGTCATTGTTCTAATTGGAATAGTGGAGGCAGGGGAATCTTATGCATACACATTTTTCACTTCCGTTTAGGGTTCTCATTCTCCTTTTTCCCTCTTTATGTGTGACGGGTGAAGTAGCCACCCTAAGAAAGAGGTGAAAAGTGTGCATAGTCAATATCAAAAAATATGGTTGTGGAAGAAACTTTAAAGAAAAAGGAAAGCAACACGTAAAATGGCCCTGCTTTCATGGTTGTTTTAGTGCTTGACAGGTTCTGCCCACATGCTGAGTCGCAGTGCCAGGAGACAGTGGAATTTAACATTAGTGCACTACTACCTCTCTGTGCTGTCAGTCAGGATACCACATGGCAGTGGAAATGGAGCAGTGCTATCCCAGCACGCACTGGCAACCCTTTCCTTTGAAGACCATAGAAGCTGGTCAGAGGTGTGTATTTATTTATTTTTTTTTTTTTTTTTTTAGACCCCACTGACTGTCAGGGAGACTAACTATTGGCACCAAGTAGTATTTCTGTGTTGCCATTGGAGATCTGGTAACCTGGATTTCACCAGCTCTGCTTTTAGTAGCATTAGTAGTAGCATCCTTTACTCCACAATGTCTGTAAGTTGTCACAGACCAAGACTAGATTGACAAATAAAATCTGCTTTCCATATAAATCTATCTGCATGTTTGGGTATAGACATTGTGTAAATCGCAGAGTTTGATCTCCTCGGTGTGACAGTGCTATGAATCTTGCATGTTTTTCTGTGTGTGGGTGTAAAAAAACAAAACAAAAAAAACAAACATTTTTTTCCAGATTTTTTTTCACCATGGTCAGTTATGACTATGGTGTTTGAGCCCGGAATGCTTGTATTGGGGTTATTTGCCTCATCTTGTTTAACAGGGGACATTATTTGGTTAAATAGCAATCAGAGTGAATTTCTATTGTTTGTTTAACTAGCGCACTAAAATTTTCCCAAGAATGGTATATAACTAATAGGTTAAGACTGGTTCATTTCCTCTGTTTCATATCTTTGTGGTTTGTATGGACAGGGCACTTCCCCCATTGAGAGGCTAATAAAAGTGAAAGAGGAACTCCTACAATTCTTTCATATGTAGCTTATATATAGTTAGTGTGTTTTATAAGGGGGGGAAAATACCTTGACTGTAATACACAAATTTCAGTAATAATCAGTATAAAAGTAAATATTGTAACATTAAACATTGCAAAAAATGGGAAGGCCATGTCAGACATCCAAAAAATTAATCTGGAGTGCCAGCTTTTTTGGCGACTTGGCTATAATGTTTAATTTCCAGTACAGAAGAATCTGACTGCTCTTAAAAGAACACTGTAGTGTTAGAAATACAAAGTTGCATTCCTATTGCTATATGTCCTCGTCTCTGGATTTACATAGGTACCTTTCCTATGGCTTCCTCAGTGTGACTTGCCTCTCCACCTGACTAGCACTAGAGGTAGACTTAAAGGAACACTACGGTCAGAAACACAAACGTGTATTCCTGACCCCATAGTGCAATACCCACTATTTAGTTGGCTATTCATATAGGCGACATATCTAGAATGCATTTGTCAAATTTCCTTAAATCAAACTTTCCATACACTTGTTCGTGAGTGACAGGTCTTTTTTACTTTAATGTTTTTGCTGCTCACTCAGCTGTTGCTATGGCCTATTCAGCTCATTGTTGGTGTTTTATTATACTAAAGATGGTATTGTGTTAAGGTTTGTCATTTACTCATTACATCCCTTTTTACCCTTTAGGGTAGCAACAAAAATCTAAAACCAGCGAAAGAGCTCCTTACTATGAAGAAGAAAGGGCTGTCCTGTGCATTGCTCTTTGTGAGATACAGTTTGCCTATTTTGGGAAAAATGTTTGCATGCTCCCAGAGCGCAATGTTTTCAACTGCCTGAAGCCTTCAGCACTGATTAGTTTTATTTGAAAGCTACACTCTGTGCTGCTCTGTAGTAAAGTGCGTTGGTGGAACAATACTTTCACACTGCTGCTGCAAAGTACGTTTGTTTATTTTTTACATTTTTAAAAATTTTACTTTATTGGAATTGTGTTCTCTCTACACCCACCGAAAGGACACGAATAAACATAAATTGTGAACATGATGATGCAAAAGGGAATTTTGAATTGATATACGGACTGATTGCTTTCCCTTATTACTTTTCTTTTCTTCGTTCTCCTCTACAGTAAGGGCTGTTAGGTATATCTGTCAGTCTGCTCTTGATATGATGTTTGGCTTGCCTGCCTCTAAGGATTAATTTGAGAACACTTGATGGGATGTTAAGTGTGTATTGGTGTATTTGTTCGATGTAATCTTTAGTACATGTTGATTAGAAAGGTTTTAAAGTACACTTGATATTGTTTGACCATGCTCTTCTTGCTCCAAAAAAGGATGAAAAGCTTAGAATAATGTATTCCCCAATCTGCACAGGGTATTTAAATTGGTTCTAGAAGAACATAATCTAACCTAGTGTTCTGGGGAGGATGGGGGGTAGGGTCCTCTTATGCTTTGTACTCCAATTTGGAGAGAGATCTCCCTTAACCAGACTGCACCGAGGAACTCTGTATTGGGCTGCTCCCCACTAGACCATGGGAAAGCAAAACAGTAGGTATTCAACAGGAGTGCTTGCTTGCCTGGCAGTGTGCATCAGTGCTGTAGTGGGTTTCAACGGGCTTAAAGAGGTCCGATGACAGCCCTGCCGTTATACTAGTTTAAATTTATTTAAGATATTCCTCTATCCTTTATCTTGCAGTACACAGATTATATTCCCAACATGTCCTCAACATTCCCCCCACTTTTTAGGCAACTTCTACTATTTAGTTCATATAAAAGATCTAACAGGATTAATGTATTGTACATCTAGTAGCAATTTTAATCTTATATGCATTTTACTTAAAGGAACACTATAGTGTTAGGAACACAAACATGTCTGCTCTCCCTCCCCTTCCTCCTAAATATAATAAAATAGTACCCTTATTCCAGTCTGCTGCTGCTGGCTCTGCCCCTGATCTGCCTGCTTAGCGGACATCATCAGAAGTGGTGAACTGAGCCAATCACAATGCTTCCCCATAGGAAAACATTGGACTGGCTGAGACTGTCAAGGAGGCAGGTCAGGGGCAGAGCCAAACACAGCCCTGGCCAATCAGCATCTCCTCATGGAGATATATTGAATCAATGCATCTCTGAGGAAAGTTCAGCGTCTCCATGTAGAATGGGCAGCACTGCCACGGTAAGCATATGAGGAAAGGCAACTGGAGGTATCCATAAACTGTAATGAAAACACTGCATTTTTTCTGAAAATACAGTGTTTAGTGCAAAAATCTTGAAGGGACCGATTATACTCCCCAGAAAAAATACAATAAGCTGCTGTAGTTCTGGTGACTATAGTGTCTCTTTAACTATACCCTATCCTTCCCTAGATGTAAACTCTTGTAAATAAACTTTGAGTAAGTGTTATTTCTACATTTTGATAGGCTATGTTTGCGGGGTGTTTTTATCATTTTGAGCCGGAATTTGTCTCATGCTACGGATTATTCTAATAGGTGTTGTTGCAATGAATCCCCCCCCCTCCCCCCTCCCTTGTATACTGGAAACAATGATTGTTTAATGCCATTTTTGTAATGTCAGAAATGATTAAAATTTAGTGTTGTGTATGTATGCATGTGATTTCTATATTTTCCAAGCTGTTATTGATTTTTGTGAACATGTACATATACGAAAGCGTGCAATTATATGCATCACAATCATTAGTTTAAACATTTTTTTTTTAAATCATTTGTTTTGAAAATGTTGAGTATTTTGCATTTTTAAATTTACTTAGATATTTTAAACTTGTTCCGATTGTAGTGTGCCTGTTATTATGGTGGTAGTATGCATTCCGGGAACTGTCCCTTTAGTGCAGGCATTACATCATGCTTGGAGAATCTCTTTGGAGTCTGTGACACTTGGTGTATATATCTTAGTCTGAACTGGATACCTGAGAATACTGAGGGGGAAACCCTGTGCTGGAGTACATTAGAGAATCTTTGCAATTTTTTTTTCTTTACCCATAACTCCTTTTAGTGATCTTGTGTAATGCTTGGAATTTGCACAGTGTTTATTTTTCTTATAGTGCATATGGACGATTGCCATAACTATCCTTCGCATGCCATTCATTCATTCTGTTCATGGTAAACTTTAAATGGAAAGAAGTTGTAATATTTCCAGTGCATGCTTCCTCTTTCCTAATATAGGCCCACACCACTGAATTGGTCCTATTGCATCTTACCTGTATAAGAAAACGCTTTAGGATTTCCTTATTGAGAACAAATTTGGCCAATGTGATCAATGTGGAATTAGTACGGTCATTCTATTGGTTTTCGTGACATTTGCTCCAATTTTTTAACCCTGGTCCCCTCTTTATAAATAACTCCCACATTTTTATTTATCAGTAGTCTGTAGTATGTAATCAGAACATGTCTGATGTAATGGCTCCTTTAATTAAATATACTTTGGCTTTTACACATCTTGATGTCCAAATGGGGGCGGTGGGTGGTACAGCTTGATTAAAATGTAAATCTGAGTGTTTATTTTTGACCTGAGAACTTCTAATACATTTTGCTGTTTGTGATATTTTGGGTTATTTGAAGAGAAGCGGTCTATTTTACGGTATTTAAAGCGGCTCTGTCTCTTTGCAGGTGTTACTTTTATATTAATCCTTTTTTGTCACTGTATTTCTATGTTTGTTTTGAAATTCCCCTTACTTTTTTTTACTAATACATAAGAAAAAGTAGGAACTACTTTTTCTTATGGTGGAATGTGATCCTGGAAATGGGCACAACTTAAAGGACCACTATAAACTTGTTTTCGTGGCACTATAGTGTTAATAGGTCCCTTCCCACCCTCATGGCCCCCCTCCTGCCAGGCTTTTGGGAGAGGAAGGGGTTAAAAGCTTGCCTTTCTCCAGCGCCGGGCTCCCTCGGCGCTGGGGACTCTCCTCCCTCTTCCGCCAAATGCGCATGCGCGGTAAGAGACGCGCACGCATTCAGTCAGTCCATAGGAAAGCATTCTCAATGCTTTCCTATGGACGCTGGCGTCTTCTTACTGTGTTTTTCACAGTGAGAAGCACCTCTAGCGGCTGTAAATGAGAGCTACTAGAGGCTGGATTAACCATAATGTAAACATAGCAGTTTCTGTGAAACTATGTTTACAGCAGGCAGGGTTAACCCTAGATGGACCTGGCACCCAGACCACTTCATTGAGCTGAAGGTGTCTGGGTGCCTATAGTGGTCCTTTAAGCAAAGTTCTGTTTTAGTTGCTAAGCTAATTTTCCCACAATTTGTCCCACAGAAAGCAAACTGCACAATTCATGGACAGAAAACCAAAACAAAATGGAGGCACCTAATTATTTAGTCAAGGAGTTTTGGGCTGAGAGAGAACTTTGCCTTGACAAAGTTAATACCTGCGGTGGGGAGGGGGGAGATTGAGACAGGTAGACCAGCACAGAATATGCTAGTACAACCAAAACCAGTGTTTTTATGAAAAAGGGAAAAAAGATGCAAGGAGCATAAGGAAAATAAATAAATAAACCAGCCATTGGAAGTTTAAAGGGACACTATAGTCACCAGAACAACTATAGCTTATTGAATTTGTCCTGGTGAGTAGAATCATTACCTTCAGGCTTTTTGCTGTAAACACTGTCTTTTCAGTGAAAATGCAGTGTTTACATTACAGCCTAGTGATAACTTCACTGGCCACTCCTCAGATAGCTGTTAGAGATCCTTCCTGGGTCATGGCTGCCTAAAATGCATCCAAACATTCAGTGTCTCCACCCTCAGCATGCAGACACTGAACTTTCCTCATAGAGATTCATTGATTCAGTTCATCTCTATGACCAGGGCTGTGTTTGAATCATGCTGGCTCTGCCCCTGATCTGCCTCTTTGTCAGTCTCAGCCAATCCTATGGGGGAACATTGTTATTGGATCAGGCTACCACTTCTGATGATGTCAGTAGACTGCTTGTTTTTTTTGTTGTTGAGGCAAACAGCATGCAGAGTGACAGCTTCTGGCTTGAATACAGTAAGAATTTGCTATATTTATGGAGGCTTGAGGGGGGCTAGATGGTGGTGTTAACACTATAGGGTCAGGAATACATGTTTGTGTTCCTGACCCTATAGTGATCCCTTAAAGCCTTGCTTTACTGTAGGTGCAGTAACATTTAATTCTGTATATTTGAAACAAACCAATGGAACCAACGTTCGAAATCAAATTTGATTGTCCTACTACTAATGCCTAAAACAAATGTATTTTACATAGATAGATCTTCTGTCTGTCAATATACTTGCTCACTGGCTCCTAAGATAAAGGGGAAAAAAAGCCTTAAAGGACCAGTTTGGACGCCATAAGAATTCCAACGAATGAAGTTGTTCTGGTGCCACAAGACGTCCCTTGTGCTAGCTCTTAAAGGCGTTCAAATTTTTTTGGGAAGTTTGTTCCAGTTCGGGATCGCTCTACCTCCCCAACCTTTGCTTCCGCTTTCAGAAGGGGAAAAGGGTGCATACTGTAGATGAATGAGGAACTACTGATTGGCTGAGCAATTTCAAAAAGTGGAAGGCTGGGGGGTGATGCAGTTCAGCGCTGGAGCACAGACTTTAGGGTTAAAATGTGTAACGGTTAAACCCCTAATGGTGAGCCAGCGACCTCCTTGCATAGTAACTATTTAATTTAAATTCCAACATTTTTATGGTGCTCAAACTGGTCCTTTGATGTCAGTCTGGATAATGAATCTGAGTTTAAAAATTCTACATTTGCAGATAGGACATCCTTTTTTAAGAATTTATTTAATACGAATCTAGTTGTAAAACACAAACTGTTACATTATATTAAAAACACTAGACCACACACATCAAAAACACTATTTACCTGTAATTTAGTTTTGTGTGACCACAGGAATAAAATAGCTAGATTAGTCCAGTATATCTGTCTGCGTGTATTTTTAAACATAGGTGGTGTTAATGTGGTTATTTCTAAACATGAATCCCGGTCCACGTTGGAGATTCACCTGTTCCAGCTCCTAAGTTTAATATTGAACTGGTGAGCGCAGTAACATGTAATCCAAAATGTAGGCATGTTCCCGATGGCCTTCTTTTTTTTTTTTTTTTTGCCGTAAGCTGTGTTCTTCTGTGGATATTTTGAACCTCTGACATTTTGCTGTCATGTTTAGAGGTGTTTGATACCTGACAGTAAATCCTTAGGGGGTTTGTTGCCACAGTAACTGCTAATGATAGTCTGAAGTAGTGTAGAAATCCCATTCAGGCTATTGGAAGGAGTCAACTAATCCAGTAGACCTATCAGACCATATTTAAACACTGCTAAAGACAGTGATTGTATTCTGTATGACACTGACCATGCACTGAACTCTAAAACTGTTTTGATCAGTGTTAATAAGATGTAAGTCGTACTGTTAAGTGATGCAACCTATGCCTGGGCCTTTACTGCTTTTGGGTGCAGCCTGCCTGTTAATAGACAGTCTCAAGGAAGAAAGCAATATTTAAACAATAATTTCATATGAACATGGCCATCATTGCCTCTTTTTTTTATTTTTTTTTTTTATTTTTTTTTTTTACCCCTGAAGATAAACATCCCATCAGACATTACTTGTGTGGGCTGATGAGAACAGGCATCGTTATTGTGGTGTTTGATTTCATTGTGCATGTTTAAGACTATCAATGAAAGATCTTGTAGTATTATGTAATTTACCTTAGACTTCAATCTTGTACTCTTGCAAATTTGTAACACTGCAGCTGTTGATGGCTATGGCCAAAATGGATCCCTCCCCTCTCTTGCTTATCTCCACCTTGCCAGCAGAAATGTCACTTATTTAAAAAATAAAATACTGTAACACGTCAGCCCCTTGAAAGAGCATGTATGTGTACATTCAGTTTTTCTCAACTATGCTAAATTATAGATCATTTAACTTCAGATGTAAAGCAGCAAGCAAGTGAAACGATATTCCTCTTTCCAAGAAATTTCTTTGTAGATTTCTTCCTTTGTTTTGGTAAAATTCTGTGGGGGGGAGGAGGTGAAGGGGAAAGCAAAGACATTTCTAGAAGTCTGTGCGTTGTCTAAATGTACTTTTTCATAGTCTGGCTTAGGTGCTGCTTGTAAAATCTGTTTATAAAGCGCTTCGTGTAGACTGGATTTTGTAGCCAACCTTGGAAGTTGCTGTGTAAGTGCAATCCCCTTGGCCTTTTGCACACATCTGAAAAATGATACTCTGAGGGGAATCCTTTAGCATAAGAGGATCAATCTTGTCAACTGAGTTGAGACACTGTCTGCATGAACATCTGTTAAGTTACTTAAACAGAAGCAAATCAGCAGTGTGGTGCAGATTGTACACAGTGCCGAGGCGCAGGACTTGCAGTGAATGAACTGGCACTGAAAGAGTGTGTGCCAGTGCTCATCCTGAATTATTGCTCCAGTGAAGGCTTTGTGCTTTTAGCAGACAATTTATCAGCTCCTTCTAAAGTCACTTGTGGTGACCATGTAGTGTGACACTTTGGGGGAGGTTTATCAAAGTGTCACTGACACTTTTATGTCTATTTACAATGACTTTTTGCTTATTTTCCCCCCTAACCACCATTTTTTGAGATGACACCATTTTTTTGGCAAAGATTTATCAGCCTTAACACCACTTTAGGTGACAGAACGGTGTTGTGTTTTTATTTTCTTTTTACTGACACTCTAAATGTGACACTTTCAGCAACATTTTACTATGCAGAAAATCGTCAGTTTTTAGATCACTAATCAATTTTCAGAACACTTTGATAAATGTCCCCTTTGAGTTTGTTTAGTTATAGTTACATGAATGCAAAATAAGCACACAAGCAGCATAGTTATTAAAACTGTTAAAACTTCATGGAATGGCCTAACTTGTTGATATGAATGTAAGCTCATTGAGCAGGGCCCTCCACCCCCTTTTGTTCCTGTGCGTCCAGTTGTCTGGTTACAATTACATGTCTGTTAGTCCACCCATTGTACAGTGCTACGGAATCTGATGGTGCTATATAAATAATATGAGAGGGGCTCCCCTCTGTCAGCAGGGCCCATTTTTTAGTTATCCCAGACTGACCGATGAGTTGAATGCCGATCTCAAAGTGAGCGCTGCATACAGCCCCTTAAATGGGAATTTAAATGCCCATAGGCTGCAATCTAGTACAAACATGATTCTTTCAGCCTGGCACTGTGTCGAGTGTGATTGGTGCTGGGCTTTACAGTATAATCAACATGCCTTAGTTTCAGCATTACAGGGATATCCCTGTAATGTTGAAAGCAACAACTATATGGCAGTCACAGACCACTCACTACTGTTTTAACTATTGAACTGATCAGTACTAGTATTAGCAGAGTTTAGCTCCACTGAGCTAACCAAACCAGGAAGTAACTGGACCGGTTGTCTCACAGCCAAGGGGTGCAAAGCAAGTTTAATGTATAAAAGTATGTGCCCTTTTTGTAAAATTAAAAAAGGATACACTCTTAACACATGATGCATTTCAACAAGCTAAAATACTCGATGGGTCTGGGATGTGCCTTTATTTTGAGCTATTTTTATTTATTTGCACTGAATATGTAAAATCTGGGAAAAATTTGTAGTCCTTTACCCCTGCCTCTTTTATCTATAAATAATGCTGTGTTTGGTACACATATCAGCTATTAAAATAGTCATTTCTGTCTATTAAAAATTATATATAAAATGGGTGCACTTAAAAGAAAACCATTAAATTACATTGGAACAAATCGTGTAAATTCTAGGTTGTGTTTTTTGTTCAGGACTTGGACCATTGCCTCCGTCCTTAAGGGGTTAATTCTGTTTGGTTGTTATAAAATGCTGGTATACTGCAAATCCAAGGTATTGGGTGTACTTAGTGATTTAATTATTCATTTCTAGTTTTGTTTAAACTGAGATTTAAGAAAGGTTTACCATTCTTGTGAGCCATTAGCCCCGTGAACAGGTTTTCCTAAAATATTACTTCTCTCAAAAACTACTCTGGATTGTGTGTTTGTGTATATATTCGAATATAAGCCGAGGCACCTAATTTTACCTTTAAAAAAACTGGGAAACCTTTTTGACTCAAGTATAAGCCTAGGGTGGGAAATGCAGCAGCTACTGGTATCAAAATGCAATGCTTCAGATTATCCCATGATTTATGGGAGTTAGTCACTTTACAGACTTTTGCATTACAGACAGAATTTGCAAAAAATTTCACACCTCTTCAGTGGCCCTTTCCACCCACCCCCCCCACCTCCACAGTGGTCCTTTTCCCCTTCTCCCCCACCTCCACAGTGGTCCTTTTCCCCTTCTCCCCCACCTCCACAGTGGTCCTCCCCTTTCCCCTTCTCCCCCACCTCCACAGTGGTCCTTTTCCCCTTCTCCCCCACCTCCACAGTGGTCCTTTTCCCCTTCTCCCCCACCTCCACAGTGGTCCTTTTCCCCTTCTCCCCCACCTCCACAGTGGTCCTTTTCCCCTTCTCCCCCACCTCCACAGTGGTCCTTTTCCGGCCGGGTAGAGGAAACAGAAGTTCCTGTCCTGCGGTCCGCGCCGCCTGGCCACGCTACATTGAGTGATTGGCAGGAGGAAGCGCTGTTTTCTCTAATGTGTCATGTTTTCTAATCTAACTGGTTCTTAAATTTTGTCTTTGACATCTTGTTTTTTTGATGATCACCGTAGAGAAATGGTAGATTAAATGGTGGTTCGTTTGGGGGATGCTATTAAAAATTAAACATTTATGCAATTGTTTAATAGACCTATTTTAGAAAGTGGTTTATGTATTCATTTTGCATTTGATATACAATCAATATAATGTCCTGACACTTTATTTATTTTCATTACAGGGCAATGAGGCAAGCTATCCGTTGGAAATGTGCTCACATTGTAAGTAGCCAGTAAACTGGATACACTATGCTGACCAGCAAAATGTCTTTAATGAATGTTATAAATGTGTCACTCCACTCTACAACTCTAATGTATTATTAAATTAGTTAATATCCTGGTGTAATGCTTTTTAAACAAAAAAGCCTTATTTCTTACTTGTACCCACATTTTGATATTCTTTCCCTCCTTAAAAAAAAACTAGACTCTCATCTCCAGCAAACTATTAAATGGTATCCCTCTTCTTTAGATAATTGGGCAACAGGATCCCTATTCGTTTCCTGGATATGTAGTTTCTGCGTAGGCTGAAAGGACTGCACAGTTTGTGGTCTTGTTACACCTTTGTAACCACTTAGGCTGGTGCTTCAGTGGCCTAATGGGCTAAGAGTTGGCTTATTTCTTCCACCACTATCCCTTTCTTGGGTATATGGAATGCATACCAGAAAAGTTGCATTCACCCCAATGCTGAAGATTGCTTTTACAGCAAACATGTTGGATGGCATTCCAACTAAGCATGGAACACACACGCAGGTTGCATTGGGTTCCATTACTATATTCTGGTGCTGCTGTGCATGTTTACGAGAGATAGCTATTTTGGGTGTCAAAATTCAGATTGGCAATCCTCTTTAAATGTTGTTTGGTATTCTGTCCCTTCTGAGCAAGTCGGAAACAGATGTGCAACACATACCCTTCTGCACACTGAGAGCCTTATTAGTTTGAACGGTTTTGTGTCTCTTTTTGATACACTGATTTATTTATTTTTAAATTTACTTTCTGATTTTTATATGCCTAATCATGCGGCATCCCCACATATTTAAAAAAAAAAAAAGGATTTTTAAAAAACATTCTCTGTAAGTACGTTCCATGATGCATTCAAAAGGAAGCTTCGCAGCTTTTGCGTCAATGTAACCACTGAGTTGTCAAAGAGAGGAACCATCTGCTTTTTCTAAATTATCATTGCTCAGCTTACTTTTGCGGAGTACATCAATGATCCTATTCAGTTGGTTAAAATAAAAAAACCTCTTTCCATTACTCTCTGCCTCTCCCCTTCTGTTAGGGAGTGTAAAAGATTCTGCTAGGAGTTCCTGCTAGCACTCTTGAGCAAAGTACTCCAGTGTCAGCTCATTAGTGGAGAACATCAGCTGATTACAATCAGCCAATGAACGAAGCCGTTGGCACAAACTGTTTGACTGCTTAAATTGATGCGGCAGTAGGGTACTCTTGGCATCATCATAACTACAACGTGCTGTAGTCTCTTTAATGCTTGGAGTGTTCCTTTTTTTTTTTTTTTTTCAGACTGACCGTTCAATCCCAGTTTTTTTTAAAGAGCATAAAGCCAGACCAAAGTAACTTTAAGCCCTGCTTTCAGTATATAAAAATATTTTTGCAGTCGATACTTTAAATGGACATGTCCGCATTAGGGATACAAACATGTATTTCTAACTCTATAGTGTCATAATCCATATTTAGATTTAGCCCCCCCACCACCCTTTACTCACTCCTTCTACTGCAACATTATTCTGGAGGTGATACTTCCTCGATTATTGTCCAATCCAATGCTCCTCGTACAGTAGGGTGTGCCCAATCAAATTCTTCATGTAGGCAAGCATTTTATCCAATCTTGCTAAGATTTATGAAGATTATATCATCAGAGTTGAGTTGGGTGCAGTTTGCATGCACTGACTAGGCTCAAGCTTGAACGGCAGTGATTGCTGGAAAGGACTGCAGATAAAAAGAACAGACTGGCAACTGGGAGCATCTTGCTGGTGATTTAAAGTATACAATGCTCTGACAAGCCATCCTTTAAATATATGAAACCTCAATATCACAACTTCTAAGTGATATGGGAGTTCTATTCACATGTGCACTTTGTCCAGAACCACTCAATGGCTTTATTTTCCCATAGTACATACTTCACTCTGTGAATAAAAATATAGGATGCATATCCAGGAAAGCTATGACTTTGTAAATAAGACATTTCAATACGGTTTCTCTGCATTTTTCAGTCATAGATCCTACCTTAACACATTTACTGTAAAATTCAGTACGTTTTGTGGTGCAGATCTTTTTCGTTTTAAAAACTGTTTGAGGCCTTATCACATCTAACAGAGTTGAAAAAATTGCATTTCCCTTTTTTGTTTTTGCATGATGGACTACAAGCTTCTATGTATATCTCAAGGGCATCGCCTCTGTAATGTGAGCCAAGGGATAGAAATAGATGCCATGCTTCTTTGACTTTTGCACTGTGGTTATGAATCAAAAGGAGTGTTGATGTAGGCAACAGTGTTTCTTTTTTACAGAGGGATATAGTGGTTATGGTGCCAGGATTTAACAGGCACCATCTGACCATAATATGTCAAACTGTTTACAAATGTTTTGCAAGGAACAGGCCTAGTTTATGTCAAGCTATGTTAAAAGATGTAGTGACTATATGTATTATAATTTCATTCACTCCCAAGTGGACTAACAAGTATAGATCGAAAACTACAATAGAGCAATTTGAATTGTACAAAGCTAGTCCCTCCAAAAGAAGGGAACTTGGGTGGTCCAGTACTATGCAGACTCTGCTGGAATCCTTGCAGCAGGCCGAGGCAGAGTGTCCTATATCTGGTTGAAGTGCAGTATAAGTTCTCTGACATATGTTCGGTCCTTACATTTATTGTCTTTTCAAAGACCCCCCTCCCTTTTGACCTATCTGCTTATATGGTAGCATATGAGGAGCAAGTAGTTGGGGAGATACTTAGATGATGCTGTTCCTCTTTGCTGCTGCTATTTCTCTTCTTGACCTAACAGATTCCACATCAGTCTTGTGCTCTTGTGTCCACTGGTAAGGCAGTTGGTAGAGCTTCTGCTGTCACATTCTATTCTGCAACCATTTCCCTAATTTCACAAAATCTCATTCTACATGAGACAATAATCTCTTCAGTTTGTATTTTTCAAAATGTTCAAACTCTACACTGTGCATTATTCCGCTTAACGGGCTTCAGAACCTTGTGGTGCAGACTGATACTGCTGGCATCTTGGCATATCAGGGTGGCTTTGTGCAGTTACTCAGGATGTTGAGTTTCTGTCCGCTCCTAAAGTAAGAAACTCAATCACATTTTGCCAATGTGGCCAAAGAAAAGTACCCAAAATGTTGTAGAGTGATCTACAAATCATGGTACTTTTAATTATACAATACCTATAGATCCAATTGTGACCACCCTAGGCATATAGTATGTTATAGCACTTTGGTCAGTGTCAATTATTTACAGATGTTTGACTTCAACAATAGAGGGTGATGGGCTTACTGTGTGTACTTGAAAACCTGCAGATTCTGACAGGGAAGATATATATATATTTTCATTTATTTATCCTTTACAAGCAGTATTGGGGGAAAGGGGAGTTTGACATTTAAGTTAATATAATCGATTTTCTTCAGAAATGTACCAAATCTGATTGGTAGTTATTTTATTTTGTTTCATTTTTTTTATGATAGTTTCCTCTTTCTCTCCTTTTAGTCCTTTTCCCTCTTCTGTGTACTTATTGGACCTTGGATTAATAAGGGAAACTACAATGCAATTCCCCATCGTTTTTATTAGTTGCTTTTAGTGTACAAAATAGTGTACAACTTTTTTTTTTTTTGGTTAAACACTCTGGGAGGAAAAAATAAATACAAGAACTTTGTTTTATGAAATCTGACGCCTAGTGGCAAGGATACCAGGAGTACCCTGACTGGTTCCAAGTTAATGCGGTAAACCATTTAACGGTTTGCCCCTTTACCGGGACTCCTTGGTGATCTGGTGACATGCTTCCAACTTCCACAGAGCTGCAGGAGCCAGAAACAGCGGCTATTCCTGTTCATTGAGCAGACGGTCAGCTGACCACTTTTGGCCAGTGACCAATGTTCTGTGCAATGAATGTTGCACAGAATTGACATTAGCCAGGCTTGAACTCTACTTCTGGGTTGGCTGACACCTTTAATGACACTGCCAGCAATGCAATTACACCTACAGCAGCAGAGGGGTTAACCTCTGTGTATGTGCAATGCTTCATAGCAAAATGTTTTACATATTGACTGCAGGCACCATGACCACTTCAAATCACTTAAGTGGCTATGATGTTTGGAGTAATTTGTTAATACCATTATATTTACAATACATTTTAGATACATTGATAGTTTTTGATTAGAAAATCCCCTAACCCCCATCTTTTTATTGTATTTATTTTGTTTTTAAATGCAGTTAGCTGTAAAGTAGCATATATATATATATATATATATATATATATATATATATATATATATATATATATATATATATATATAATCTCTAGATAAATTAAGAGGTATGTATGACTATTTAAACTCTCTGTGTGGGTTCATAAATATAAATTTTAATTTAAAGGGGGTATCTAGATTATTGAGAGAGTGAGTTAGTGTACACACACCCCCTCTCTCTTTATCATCTGGATACTCCCCTTCAAAAGAAATACATATATGAAATAATTTGCAGTGGGTATCTAGAACACACGAACACACCCTTCAAATTAAACTTTATATTTGTAAACCCACACAGACCCTCACATGTACAATAATAATTTCAACTCCAGCAGTGTGAGCAAAGCATTGCTTTGCAGTATGCAGAGCAGATTCTTGGCACAGAGAGGGTTAAAGGTGGGGGGAGGGTGGCTATTGCATGGATCATCAGGAATCTTTTGGTTCTAGAACCCTGTTGGATATGATGAGTTACAATCATTTGAGATCACCAATGAGTCCAAATTTGCAATATGAATTAAAATGAAAGTATAAACTTTCCTTTGTAGTTTCAGGAATATAATGCAATGTAAAAACCTGCTCATTCTTCTCATTCTTTGCTCCCCAACTGTGTGGCTGTAAAGTGACCGATGATCTGCTTAGCTTGTCCACATTAATTACGTCATGTGATCGTATGGTATTAACTAAGCTTTAGCAGCGCTTTACTGCTTAGAATAGGAATCGGCATAGTTCTAAGTGAGCCACAGACTTCACAGTTATGGCAGGAACTGGCAGAAAAACTGGTAATTGGACTAAACCCTTTCATGTTTTATTCGGGAATTTAGCGGTACGACCTGTCAAAACGAAAAACTCTTGAAAGATAATTATTTTTCATTCCTGTTCCTTACAGGTACTTAGACAGTAACACATTTAATTTAATTTTTTTTTCCTTCTAGTTGATGCAGATGAAATCAAAAGACTTGGGAAGCGCTTCAAGAAACTTGATTTAGACAACTCTGGATCTCTAAGTGTGGAGGAATTTATGTCATTACCAGAGCTGCAGCAGAACCCCCTTGTCCAACGGGTAATAGACATATTTGATACTGATGGGAATGGAGAGGTAGATTTTAAAGGTAAGAAATTTCAGAGACCTCCAATTTAAAAAATATAAAAATAGATATTAAAGCTAGATGGTACTTACAGTTCAGTAAATGCAAAAGTCTGTAGACAGATTTATTTGCCCTATCAAAAAGGTAATTTGGTTTTGTTTTTTTGACAGCCATTTATTCACTTGACCCTGTAATGCTTGCAGTTATTCATCTGCTAGTAATATTTGATAGTATGGAAACTAAATGCACCTTAAATTACCTTTCTGATCTCGAATTGTTTTTTTTTTTTTTTAAAAGGCTTTTTGTTAGTTTATGTCCAGATTCATGATTTTAAAAAAGCATAGACTTTCATTTTCCAATCCACAATGCTGTATTCAGCATCCAGCAAGCAGATAAAAAAAATGTAGATTTTGCTTAACATTGGCTTTTTTTTTGACAACTTTTGATATTCGCTTTAAAACAGTGTACTTACTGAGGTGAGGGTAAATGATTTATCATTTAAAATGTGTATGCATGTGTAAATTAAATACCACCATGATACACATGAAATATTGCTTATTGATCTGGACAACATTTAACTTTTGAGTCTAGAGTATAAATTCTCTCACCCCCCCCTTCCTCCGCCCCAACAATCAAATCTTTCACATTCAACCCAATGTCTTTCTCATGTGCCTTCTAATCAAAGTCTCTCCAGATCTATGACATGAGGCAGCTGGAGATAGTTCTGTCCCAGGAACAAAGCTGCTGTCGGCTTTTCTCGGTTTCGAAGCTACATGTTGCATGTGTCTTTGGTAGAGTTAGCCCCCATCCAAGCACGTCACCGTTTCTACTTGCCCATGGCGAGAGGGTTAACCGACCCATTGGAAGTATATAATCTCTTTACAATGTAAAATATAGTTCGAAGTTTCGTATGTTCCCTGAAATTTCACACACGGCAATACAATTACGTCATTTTTGTGCTTCAAACAAGGGAGTAGATGCATGGATTGGGGGAAATATATGCAGTTTACTATGTTAAGTAATTTCTTACTTCCCTGATATGTTTTCTGTGTAATCCATATTGCAAATAGAAAATCAATTTGTTTGTATCTACTGCCCACCTAACACATTTGAAAACATCTTCACTCTGTGAAATTACTTTTATGAACAAGGAAAGTGGATTGTTTTATAGACTTTAAAATGGCAGTGTCATTTTTGGGTTTGTTCATAAATATTTAATCCTTCTGGGAAGCTTGTAAAGTTTGCATTTCATTGAAAGGCCACCGTTTGACCAGGTGTTTTGGGCAAAAAAGCACTATTGTCACTCCAGATGGCTGATGCCGATCTCTTTGTGAGGTGCATAAATTGCACATTTGCGCATGCACTAGATTATAGATGATCCCCAAAACATCTTGCGCTCCCTCGTGTACTGAGGCAAAATTAGTCTCTAATTTATGTAAATTTGTTTTTCGCTATTATTGTGGAGTCCTTTTTTGGCACATTTGTCAAAATAGAAGTAGGTTTCTATAGCGAGTTCTTCCATATTAGAACAACTGTGACCCACATTTATTTTTTATAAAGAATTTCTCATTTGTGACCAGTAAAAACATGCATTATAGATGGTACACAATGTAGCTCGCCCATGCGCAGCTTGTGTATAAATCTATCCGCAATTGCTGTATAAATATTCTTCCTGATTGAAGCTTTCTACCAAGAAAGGAAATATTTCTGAAGCGCATTTGGTGCCCTTCTTTTGGGATGGAACTATTCCTTAACCCCTTAAGGTAAAACTGACTGGAACCTCCCCACACCATAATTTCATTGTGATTAATTTTTATATGGCCTGGAGTTGGCCTTTAACACGTATAAGTAAGGCCACCCATTTAAAGCCAGCATGGTATTTTTTTGTTTGGTTTTCTTAGCCACGTTAAGGTGTTTCAATACTCTTTCAGTGAGTTCTTGTGTAGTATCTTTTGTCTAGACACCTGCTGGAATAGCCAACTGTATAGTGGGAGTGCACCAGTAGGAGTATTGTAAATTGCTGTTTTAATGACAGTGACTTGAAGTGCAAGGCTCTGATTGCAGACTTTCTTCATGAAAAAAATATTTGGGCTTTCAGTTTTTAATAGCCACTTTATTGTAGCGTTACTTTCTGTAGAGTCATGGCTTTTTGGGATACATTTGAATATTTTGTTACCTGCTGTTCTCTCTTTTTTTTGTTATGCTTATTGTTGTGCTGTTGCTGTCCCCTCCGATCATGTATTGAGATACTGCTCATCCATATTCAGGCTTTCCTCTGAACGTGTATTGCTAGAATATCCTAGCTATTAAATGTTGGTTAAGAACAATGAGTGTTCTGAGATAGGGGTGGATTTTCAAGAGGTGGAAAAGATATAAAGGTTTTTTTTGGGGGGGGGGGGGTCAGTGTACAAATATGAAACATAAACTAAACTTTAGGGTTATATGTAAAGTGTTTTTTGTTTTTTTTCCCTGAAATCCAGAATTTATTGAAGGCGTGTCACAATTCAGTGTCAAGGGAGATAAAGAACAGAAATTGAGATGTAAGTGTTTTTTGTATTTTTTTTTTTTTTTTTGTTTTCACCCCCTGCAGGATCCTGATTTACAGATCTGTCCCTTAAAATGTCTGGGTGCATGCAATGTTTATCCCCTCTATTTGTTTGTTTATAAGAGTTTAGCACAAGGTTTATTTTTGAGAGCGCACATTATAGATCATGATTTTTAAGCTTTGGATTGTCCACCTCTAGTTTATTAAACAGGCCAGTTCTTATTGCCTAATAGAACACACACTTAATAAGGTACCAACCACTTTTTCCTTGGCACATCTATTTTTTACCCCAGTGTAAGTGCCTAAGTGTGATCCTATGCTTATGTGAATATTTTTTTCAAAAAAGAAGCTGATCATTTCTGAACTCTGAACATTGGCATGTCGCCCCATTGTACAGCGCTATGGAATTTGGTGGTGCTATATAAATAATAAAATACTAAAAGTAATAATGTCACATTGTAGTATGGATAAATTGATATGTGGTAACACGTTTCCTTTGTATATATATATATATTTTCTTTTTTTTTTTTTTTATAGTTGCTTTTCGTATATATGACATGGACAAGGATGGCTATATCTCAAATGGTGAGCTTTTCCAGGTTCTGAAGATGATGGTTGGAAACAATCTCAAGGATACGCAGTTACAGCAAATAGTAGACAAAACTATTATCAATGCAGATAAAGATGGCGATGGGAGGATATCTTTTGAAGAATTCTGTGCTGTAAGTATTGGCTACAAAATTGGGTTGTGAAGCAAAATATTCAATTTAAGGGATTATTCATTCGGTCACTGTTTATTGAAAGTATAGTGGAACAAAAAATCTGCAACTTTACTGAAATCCCAAGTTTATACCTAGATGTGCTTAAATTCATTCATACAACGAAATAATCATCCTTTCATCAAGTATTTTTTTTTTTTTAAATGATGTATATGTAGAAAATGAGGTGCTCATTCCTAATGTTTACTATATGAGGAACCTTCAGCCACAGTGCCTTTAGTCAGTGTTTTGAAACTGTTAGTCTCTATGGTCTTTCCTGATTTCATTCATTGAAAAGTCTCTATGGTATTCCCTGAAAAAAGTTAAAAAAAAAAAACTGTTTATATGGTCTTCCCTGCTTACGTGCAATAAGTGAAAATGGATAGTCTATATGGTTTTTCCTGATTCAAACACTGCCTGACCAAAGTTGCTTGTATATGGCTGAGGGATCCTGTCATAAACTAAAGGTAGGGGTGTCCTTTAAGTTAAATACAGCTAGTTTTATTGTAGGCTGTGTAAATCTCAGAACACTGAGCTGCAATGCCATTAACACATGCTGTGCATGTTTTTTTGGGGTAGGTAAATAAATAGGAACTCCATTATTTAGGCGCCACAGCAAGCTTGGAGGGTCCTTGGTACACTGTATAATATATTCAAGTGACATGGATTTACATGTACTTTAGCTAATTATTGCAGTCTATTGTATTGGTAATGGTTCGTGGAGTCTTGGTGTTTTAGCTCCCTCGGTTAAGGTGCACACTGCATATCCTATCATCTTTGATAACCTACTTTAATTTTGTTGCTTAGGATATACTACACACTGTTCAGGATGTGAAATATTTTCTGTTCAATTCAGCTCTGTCACCTACTTGGGTCTTTTGTAAAATATTTTAAGACCGTAAATGGTGACTTCACCTCTTGCAGTGCGTTGACCTGGGGCAGCAGGGGGAAGGTAGATTTTACTTACCGGTAACATGAGCTGTCACTCATGGTCACTGCCATCTTCATTTGTTCTGCCCTCTTCAGCTCCTGGTACTTAATCTGCCAGATTAAGCCCATGTCAATGCTGTACACTCTTGTGCAATACTGGGATCTATCAAGGATCCTACGAGACCTCCATAGACCATGCATTTTTCCCATACAGCTTTCACTAGTGAAATAAGAATTGATCAAAGTAGCGGTGCCCTTTGTCAAGTATTAGTCAGTAAGTAATGTATTGCAGGTACTCTCTAAATTCCAAATTTTGGTGCTCTTGCTAGTAGGTGTGGTTTCTGTCCACCTGGATCCACAATAATGAGCAAACAAAAAAGTAAAGGTCCTCGGCACTCCGCAATAAATGCAGGTGGTTTACTCGGTCATCAAAATGAAAGGGCAGCGTTTCTACAAGTAGGTAGGAAATGTTGGCCTTTCTCGTTAATGGCTTTATAAACTACCTGAATGTGTTGCTGAGGGCATTTTTTTTTGTAAAATACATAAGCAAATTAGAATGGAATGCATTGGAATTTCAGTGACCCAGTCAATGTGAGATCTATATGACTCGGTTTTTTTTTTCGGGGTGGGGGAAATGACGGAGCCTCCATAACAATAGCATTTGTAAGTATATTATGGTTTCAACACTTCCTTAGCCATATGCAGATAAATGTCATCTCCAATTAAAGCATGTTGGTTACATTCGGAGTGGAATATCTCAGCAATATTACAAGAGGTTATATTCAGTGTCACCTCTAGTGGTAGAACAGAATCACTTTTATAAACTGCTGAAATTAGTCCTCATCAAAGTGGTCTTGCATGTCCTATTTAGGGAATCAGTAGTTGTAAATGTGAACAATTTGTTCTTCCTCAAAATGATATGATGGCACTCCTTTTATCCAGCTAGTCTGAAGTGATACATTAATGTTATGTTCGCCTGCTTTTTGATCATAATAATACTCAAATATAAATATTATACTGAGACGTGACTTCCATTTGAACCTTTTTCATGTGTCATCTGTTATAGGTCGTAGGAGGTCTAGATATCCACAAAAAGATGGTGGTAGATGTGTGACTCTTCAGAGCAGTACCAACACTTCTGCTTTTTTTCCCTCCATCTCTGAAGATCTGCTCAAGACGTCCAGCAACGCTCTCTGTGTATTTTTAAATGGAAGTATTTTTCTCTGTGAAGCCACATTTTCCAACATGAGCCTCATGAAGCCAACTTTAGTGTTATTGAACTTTTTAATCTCTCAATAACTCAGTGTAGCACTTTAAAGTCTGAAGGACAGCAAGACGGGGAAAGGCATATCGGTGTTGTGGAAAAAACCAAGGAAGGGAGTTGGCTTTTTATTTATTATGTTTTTTTTTTTCATCTTTTATAACAAGAAATATATATATAGCTTTCTATGTAGTCATTAGGTGGGCTTTAATTTAATCTACAAAAACAATACTAGTATACAAAGTGCCAAGCAGAACAGAAGCCGTTCAATACATGAATATAAATCCTTACTTTTATTTCACGCAGTTCATAATATAGTAGGAGAATGTATACGATCAATAGGCATGTTTTTTTCTTTTTTTTTTTTCATTTGTTAAAATGTTTGTATATTAACTGGTTGATCAACACGGTTGCTTCCTATTAATCTACTTGACATTTCATTTTTTTTTCTTTTTTCACACAGGAAATTTGTATGTTTAATTTATGTGTTAAGATATATATTGCCAGGGACTGTGTGTGTCTCTTGCTTTTTGAAATGTAGTTAAATGTTTCTGCCAAGTAAAGATCCCCTTTTTGTGCTCATAGAGCTGCTTAAGCCCTGTGCTCTGCTTTGCCTAGTTACAGAAGCAAATGTCTAAAACTCTTATCTCTGTAAATGGGTGCACACTGGTAGGACCTGCCCATTTACATAAACTGATTTACTTATCCAATAGTGCTGAATTGTCTATTTTGACGTTTATTACATGGACTTGATTTTTTTTTTTTTTGATTTTTTTTTTTTAATAATCGAACCATTGAATTTCTTTTCAGCTTAAACAGTGTAGTAGTTTATTTTTATTTTTTTTACTTCTCCCCTCACCCCATGCCAAATGAATTTAATGCAGGCAGCCTGACTGGTAATATTTCAATTTACATATGTATATTGGGTACAGGATAGGATTTTTTTTTTCTTTTGTCTATTTTGTAAGAAAACTGTTATCCTTTATCTGGAATTTATTCATTCACTAATTTGGTTTTATGTTTTTGTGTGCTCATATTTCGACACCTTTTTATGTGATCTAAAAGTAGCGAGACATTTTCTGCAACTGTCACTTTTTTCTGCTGTGGTACTATTGGCTGGAAAATAAAAAAAAAAATATATAAAATACAGGAAAAAAAGCTAATTAAAAGGGTAAATCTTTTGGAATCATATCCATTTTTTTTGTGAGGTATATATGTAAAGTGGCAGGTTATTATACCTGGTATTAAAGTATCTACCTGCAATAGCTGTTCCTTCAACTGAGTGCTGCACACCATGGGCTCTGTCTGTGCGAGAGAAATCCAGTTGCTTGGTGTCCTTGCATGACATAGAGTTTTGCATGTAGATCGATTTTTGAAATGTTCCTCTTGTTTACATAATTTGCATTCTATATAATTAAAAGGAAAAAAAAGGAATGTTGCCAAATTTTGGTACATGTACATGTTAATGTTCAAACCGTCTCCACTACAAGTAACTTTCTTCCTCTGGATCAGTACATGGTTTATATTAACCCAGCCAGTGGTCATCACTTTTCAGTCGCAGCTGCCATGTGCTCTGTTCCAAGGGGAAACCATTTAATTTTTTTTTTTTTGTACATAAGTTTCGTTAAACTTTTTAGCAAAAGCTTTCTCCTTCTCTTGCTTGTGCATATTTTGGCTGGCGTTTAAAAAAATATAGCAAAGATTTTTTTTCCATTATTGGGTTTTTTCTAGGGTTTTTTGTTTTTCTTTTTTCTAGTTTGTGTGGGGAAAATTGTTAATGTTGAGTGTTTTAATTTTGTTTTCCTCTGCATGCAATAGAACTTGTAGGGACAGTAGAAGTCTTCATACTGTATGAATAAAAAGATGAAACTTGTTATTCTGTCTCTTGTTTAATTATGTGCTTTAGTAGAATGATTGTTGGGCTATCACTCAGGACTCGCTAAGTGGGGAACGTATAGTTTTCACGGCAGAACAGCTGCCTCATTATGGTAAGGTCAGATGCACCAAATTAAGAAGAGTTATTTCAGTGACATGACACTTGATAGTATATTATGTTTAGATTCACATAGGCTTTAAGAACTTTTTCGACATGATCCGTACTACCCAGATTTCGATAGAAGCAATACGGATAAAGCTGGGTATTTAAATGACTGTACAGTTACCAATAATGAATTCTTAAAAACAAAAGAAAAACGCTTTAGTCTATGCTTAAGCAAAACTATTTTAATGGTTTACAGGTTTAATTAACGTGAGAATGGTCAGCAATTCATACTTGGAGCAGGTCTAGCCTGGGGATTTCTTTTCCTCCAGTTTGGCTGTTGTAATTTACTAGGAATGCCCACCAATTCTCACTAGTGAATAACCCTGTTAGTCTTCTTCCACAGTTGTCTATCTAGGTGACCACCAACCATAGTAACTTAAAACTGGAGTAAAATTATTGCTTTATAAAATGTTAACATATAGCACTGGCATGTACAAAACTTAAAACAAGTCAATAACCCGTAGCATCAATAATATTGAAGAGACAAATATATTTAATGTGGTAACACTGCACCTTAATGTTCAGTACGTATATATTTTTTTTTCTTATAAGAAAATGGATGCTTCTGAGCTATTTTCTTTCCGATCAGCCATAAAGTGTAGTGGGTGTCTGCTTACATATTAACATTTCTAAATGTTCATTAAAATCTCTCTATATATGTTTTGGTTTTTTTTTTTTTTTTTTTTTGGAGGGTTCCTTTGCAAAAATTAACAGTATTGTTGCAATTGTGCACGGACTACACAAAATTTGGAGTCTTATTTTCCTCACTTTATTTAGATTTACTGGATATATATCCAGAAATTAAATTAACTGTATAGGCAAATGCATATCCTTTCCCTAAATAGTGTAAAAATGAGGGTTCAGAAGTACCTGCTTAATCTTTACTTTTATCAGATATTCTTTTCCTCTTGTCATATCTCCATGCTTCCTGTATTTCAGCCAGACTTGCCACCCATGGCCATGCTCCGGTGAATCTCTGTGATGATATGCCCACAATGCCTGTCCAAGAATTTTCCCCTTCTAAGTTACACTACAAATACAGCTATCAGACACTAGAACTTAACCACATATGGGAGGCTGGCTGGCAGGAGGAGAATGTATTAACATGGGAGAGGAGCACATATGGGCTGTAGCCATGCCTGCATTTTAGTCTGTGCTGTGAGAGTCCGTACACTAGATAAGACATGCCTCTATTTCCATTGGCTGCTAAAGGGACCTTTCTTTCAGGTAAAACAAAACGTGTGTACGCAAACCAAAAGTGCAATTAGTGCAAATAAGATGTTCCTCCTGTCTTCCACGAAATATATAAACAAAAAATAGGGTTCAATCTTCACTTTGTATTCAGATTGCATACCGGAACGTATGTCATCGGACGGCGTGCGTGATCTCACATTGCTTGGGACAAAACCGGAATACCTGTAAGATTCTTGGACACTAGGGGAAGGGGGAATTCTTATTTATTTAGTATTGTTATTGAACACTACTAAAGTCCCTAAGGAAGTCCTATACACGGATGAAATGCGTAGGACCCCTGGTGGTGGTTCAGAGCTACTCCGCCTGCTTTTAACTTATGTAAGTGAATAGATTTTATTACACACTATTGTGCACTACAATTTTATTTTTTCTTTTGAGTATATGTACCTCAGCCAACCCATGGTGATCTGAATACAAAGTATCCCTTGGAGGGGATTTATATCAAAGACAAAACTTCAGTGAATGTGAGTGGCCATTTGGGAATACAACATTAGTGGTTTATTAGCTAGACCGTTAAATGCTATGTTTTCCTGCTTTTCATTAGCTAAGTAGATTATCCCCTATTTTTTGTGTTTCTTTCAGAGACTATGAATAAGGAACATGTTGAAATGTGAGAGGGGGTGGTTAAGGAAGCGGAGTTACACTTCTGAAAACAGAAAAATGACCAGAGTTAAGATTAAAGTAAAGCTAATAAGATTAACTTGTTTAGCTGACTGGAGTGTCCCTTTTAATATTCTATTAGATTATCAGTTTGCTTCCTAAGCAGTTTTCATCTGAATGAGGTTAAGGGTCACAAAAATCCATTACTTGGAATATTGTATCCACCAAGTGAAGTAAGAACCCACAAAGCCACTCTCAACATGAAATTCTTTGGTTATGGATTTTTTCCTGCAATGGGGAGGGAGGTGCACAGCTGTGTATGAGGCCTGATGGTGCCAAGCTATATCTGTTCATGATCCACATACATATAGCTTAAGCAACCCAGATCTATCCAACTAACAAAATCCTGGTTAGTATCCCCACCTGATTATTAGAGAACCCTGCTGAAGATCTCAAACATCAGTTTCTGTTCACACTTTGTTTAGCGTACTTGTCTTGGTGGAGGTGTTTGGACTTCGTAAATTAATTAAAGTTACCCCATACCCTGTAAACTTAAATTTTTCCATTTGATGCTCTCTTCAATTTATTTAGGCACAGCTTGGGCCTACATTGCAAATGATGAAATAAATACTGTCTGAAGGAACAATTCCCAGCACTCCACAAATCTAGAAGCAATCAATTGTGTCCTCTCTTATAGCCAGAAATCTCCCTTTGGCGGTTTAAGGATGTTTCCCTTTTTCCCACTACACCCACTTAAGTTTTTCTTGATATCAATGGTCATTGTGATGTACAGACTTCCTTATCCTTTTTCAACATTTCATGCCATTCAGTTAGTTTTGTACATTTACCTCAATTATGTAGGATTTGGGCCAGGTATGTCCAATGTAAGGGCAAAAGCTGCTGACTGGTAGACCTTTTTCTAAATAAAAGGCTTAGACCTGCTACTGTGCAGAGAAGTTAATTTATTAAAGAAATAAAAGATGTTCACTTCTTGGAATAAATCTTGAGGTAAAACTAGGCAAGTTGGAAGAACAAAAGTAGGAAATTACAGAAACATTTTAAGAGAAATGTAATTTAAGTGGTTTAAATATGGACCTTTAATCTCTCTCTTTCCACGACTAGCTCAAAAGTCATGGATAAAATCACACTGAGTAAGTGCCTTGATTGAATAGGATTTTAATAACCTTAGGTTGTTTTATTTTTTTAAACCCACTGATAGTAATAGTTTAGAAAGGTATTTCTATTAATGGGCAGCCAATTACAAGTTCATTCTAAATTTTCTATATATACAGTGTTCACTTTACCTGATTGGATCATGATGTAATAGATGGCGGTCCATGCTAGCAACATTATGATGATGATATTTATAGAGCGCCGTCAAATTCCACAGCGCTTTACAACAATATACTTAATGTAACAATCTGTAAATGCTCAACACCTGATATAAACAAGACCATAGTTTGTGCCTATTTTAATACATACATACCAGGTTTTCATGATACCGGGCACACGCCTTAGACATACACCAGTGACTTTCGATTCTATACTGGAGGAAGCCCAAAATTAACACCCCGATGCCACAGACATTTATAACATTATGTGGGGTACAGTTGACACATTCTGACAACTAGTTAAAAGGCCAGTAAGACTTTAGCATTTTTGATGGATCTCTGGACAATTTAATGTAGTTGTTCACATGTCTATAGCCTGTCCCTGCAGGCTTTTTGCTGTAAACACTACCTGTTCTGAGAAAAGGTGTATCAGGTGTTGAGCATTTACTCAGGTGGCTACTAGAAGTGCTTACTGGGTAAGTGATGCACAGTTTGCCGCATTCATTGCATCTGTATGAGGAGATGTTGATTGGCATGCCTCCATGGCTGAGATCCTCAGAATTGACAATCTCAGCCAATCCAATGGTTTTCCATACGAATAAGGTTTTGCAGCTTTTTAAAGGGACACTGTAGGCACCCAGACTACTTCAGCTCATTGAAGTGGTTTGGGTGCAAACTCCCATCACCCTTAACCCTGAGCATGTAATTATTACAGTTTTATAAACTTGCAGGGTTAAGTCCTCCTCTAGTGGCTGCTATGCATGAGGACTTCCAGCTTCACTGGAATCCCCATAGGAAAGAATGGAATAATGCCTTCCTATGGGGAAATCCTAATGCGAGCATTTGGTCTCACCGGCCAGAGGCAGGAGGAGGTGGAGCTGAGCCAGCACTGGACCCAGGTAAGTGACAGAAGGGGTTATTAACCTTGACTAGTTTGTTTTCCTGGCACTATAGTTTCGCTTTAAGGGTGGCTTTAACACTACAGGGTCAGGAGTACATATTTGTATTTCTGACCCTATAGCACAGATAGGAAACCTTCGGCACTCCAGATGTTATGGACTATATCCCACATAATGCTCTTACACCCATAATGCTGGTCAAGCATCATGGGAGGTGTAGTCCAAAATATCTGGAGTGCCGAAGGTTGCCTATGCTTGCCCTATAGCATTCCTTTACGATATTTTGTTTGTTGAACATTCAAAGCAGTAATACAAAAATAAACCAGCACTACAGCTAACACTATGGAAGTCATAATTTATTTGATGATTTGTTTTACAGCTGCTGCATTAAACATTAACTTTAGAAGGCTCCATTGGCTGAAAGTATTTAACACCGTGTAATAATCTGAATGAAACAATGCAATGCCACCAGTCTGGCTTTCATCCTTGAAGTCAAGTTGGCAAAGTCCATTAACACCTTCCTGACGGGTGATAGGAAAAATCCATCATATCATGATAGTCTTGGCATGTAATTCCTGAAGAGCTTGAAATGTGCCTCTTTAAAACTGCAGAACCATTATGGCGAGTCACTGGAGGATTCTGCTTGTGGTCTGACTTCAGCATTAAAAGCGATCTGCTGCTCTACTGGCCACTGCCCGTATGTTACCATACACTTTCGATGGTGGGCTTCCTGTTGAGAGAAAAGAAGGGGGAGGAGAAAATCAGCCACCTTATTCCAACACATGCCGTTTTATTTATGGGAATGGATATTCAAAAGCAACTGACTGGCATCAGCAAGTATTGGGATTATCATATGACATCGAGCAGTTAGGGGAGAAGAGAACAATAAAGTCAGAAGTATGGATGGGACATTGTAAGCATTTAAGATTCCAGTTTTCTCATTACCTAAGATAAGGTTGCATATTGCAGTCCTTGCCATCTTTATATTCTGAAATGATCCTAGAATGTGTATTTTTCTGCAAACAAATTAAATAAAATATATGTTAGTTTACATTACACCTAATATACCACATTCAGATTAACTGTGTAATTATTCCATTTATTAAATATCAAAGCTACCCATTTAAAGCCCCATGTCGAAGAATGAGTTAATTATACCATCTCCCCCCCTCCCCCTCTTTTTTTAAATCTTGTCACGCCATTCACCATTTTAAATTATCTCCAAAATTTAAGGATTACGAATTGCCCTTATTCCAATTAACTGACAAACACTCGATGTAACAAGCAGATAGGTTTGTTTTATTTTAGGTTCTGGCACTTAGAAAAATTATTTTAGGTTATTTAAAAAAAAAAAAATTTATAATCAGCAGTAAGTGAATTAACATTCTGTAAGGAATGTTTTCCAATTAAGATGGATTTCCTGAAAAACTGCATTTTAATCAACATGTGAGTCTCCACATTTGTTTTAACCCTATAATTCGAAAGGCCCTTATGTATATCTGTAACTGGTGAAGCCACCTAATGACCTGTTAGTGGCTCTTACCAAACCAATCCTCATAATGGAGTTTACCGAATATCTGTCATAGGATAAGGCCATAAACTGAACTTAGGGTAAAAATTGCTAAAAACTAAAATTAAATCAAGAAAAACACACATGCAAGACACGTGAAAGGTCATAAAAATCACCAACATCTACATTAGTCTTAAACACAAGTTAACAAAACACTTATCCAAATATTAGCAATAATTCTAAATCATAGTCTATAAACACACACAGGTCTACTCACAATAAGTGTGACATTTCCAAAATATTTATTCCATCCAAGAAAGCAAACAAATTGACAGCAAAATATTTAATTTAGACTTACGAATCAGCAAGAACTATCCTTGTTTTTGTGACATTTTCTATTGTGAACTTAGTCTTTCCTCCTTTCCCAGCTATTCTTCCAATTGCACGAGAAAGATGGTCCCCCTTCAAAGGCTTAACTATATTAAAGAGAAAATAAGATTAAGTTGTGGTCTACAAATTGTCGTCCAAATCCCCATTTTGCTGTGATATCAAGGCTGATCAGCTGTTGTATTATTGTCACATTACTGCGCATACTGTGTGATCATCTTGTGCTCAAACACGAGTAAATAAAATTGATCTATACATTACTATCTTCAGTTTGGTACATACAATATGAAGGGCCAAGTCCTGTTTTTTTACGGTTCACTTTTACCATGTAATCAGCGGCATTACCCAAGTGAGCAAGAACGTGAGAGACACTTTATATAAAAATCCAAATATAAGGCTGTGAAAGGAATACTAGTGAGAAGGGATGCACCGAAATTTGTGCAGCAAAAAATGCCGCCCCTAAACGCCCACTCCGGCTTACCTGGTGTTCCCCCTCACCTTCGGGTCCAATGGGGCTGTGATCTCCCTGCTCTGCTCCCGCGCAGTTTGCTGATGCAGTCAGAGCCGGAATGACATCATATTTCAGCTCCTGACATAAGTAGACAGTGCACGAGGGAGCATAGCAGGGAGATCACAGCTCCCTCGCCGCTGGGTGCAGAATGTTAATTTAATTTATAACCTTTCTAATAAATGTCCAAGTGCCAGTGTCCGCACCCGTGCGTGTATGTGAGTGTCAAATCAGTGAGAGTCGTCATTGTGTGACTATCCATGTGTCGGTCAGTGTATTTGTTAATGAGTGAGTGTCAAATCAGTGAGCCTGTGTGTGAGACTGTCAGTGTGTGTGCTTAAAAAGCTGTATTCCTGGCACTACCGATCCCTCAACCTACCCGGTAAAAAATGGGTTGTAAACCCTTTACTTATCTTATCGAAGCTCCGCCCCATCTCTGTCTGGCGACAAGTGAGGTCTAATGCGCATGCGCAGCAAATGCTATGAACACATTAGTCCTTCCCATAGGAAAGCATTGATTCAATGCTTTCCTACGGGGGGAAAATCTGACGCTGGAGGTCCTCATGCAGAGCAGACTTCGTGCTGTCATGTAAACATTGCAGCATTAGGTGCAAAAGAGTCACAGCACCCAGACCACTTCAATGAGCTGAAGTTGTCTGGGTGCCTACAGTATCTCTTTAAAGGGACCCTGTAGACACCGATACCACTTCAGCTCAATGAAGTGGTCTGGGTGCAGTGTCCCAGTCCCCTTAACCCTGCAAGTGTAATTATTACCGTTTCTCCGAAACGGCAATAATAACCTTGAGGGGTTAACCCCACCTCTAGTCAACCATAGGGACTTCCGGGTGGTTAGGCGACCAAGTGTCACCTAACTGATGCTGGAAGTCCAATATTAATACAATTATAGAGAAAAAATATATATTAAAAAAAAATAAAAATAAAAATCTATTTTAAAATCATTTGGGGAAAAAAAAAAGTCATTTTCGGTTTTCGGCCAAGGGCATCCTAAATTTTCGGTTTCGGACTAGAATTTTCATTTCGGTGCATCCCTACTAGTCAGGGTTCTGAAAATTGTTTTTAAGACACAGACGCATAAACCACATATGAGAATTAAGTCTTTCCAAATAACCCACCGTCTGTGACCTCAAATGTTTCTAAGAAGAGGTCGTCGAGTCGAACCAAAGCGAGGGCATCCTGCAACACAAAATGGTATATTATATTTTCGCTTAAGCTAGTTTTTCCTTCTGCTTTGAACTTATTTCATTTGCATATACCTCCCCTGTCTTTTCAAAAGGTGTAAAACTTTATTTACAAAAAACACAGAAATCACAGAAGTCTATCATCAAATAAAGTCAGTTCTGAAATATGTAGACTTTTTTCCCACCTAAAATATAATCAGAATGTAAGTTTTCATGGACTCTCTTAACACACTGCTCACATTGTTTCTTTAAGAGGTAGAAAATATTGCGGCAGTAAAATTATCCTAACCTCATGTATAGTCAACAGTTCGCCAGCTTAATGCTATATATAAACAGCACATACAGACATTATTGCCCCTTTAAATATTGTTGAAACTACTGCTTAACATTTCAGGAACATCTAGGCCAAACAGGCACATTTTAAAGAATAAAATTTAATATATCTATACAAAAATCAGGACATGTTTAAAGGGGGTTCTGTCATGTCTGAGTATTTCATAGATGAACGATAAAATCTTTAACAAAAACAGTCATTGACTGCATTGTAATTTAAATGAAATCACAAGACAAAAGTAGGGACTAGCAAGCATCACATTCATAAACATCTGTTTTGTACTCTCGTGCAGTAGTTTAAGTGCCCGGATCCCACAACAGGGCCTAAAAAGGAAAATGGTGGCACTCATGAGGAAGAGTTTCCGGTAAGTATATCTCCCTAAGTTTCTCCCGGGACTGCCACATATCAAGCAGACAAGTCACGGAATTACCAGAAAAACTGCAGTCAATAAGATACTTTTGAAACATGCAATTAGTACTTACCTCAACCTGGAATCCCAAAATGAAAGCTTTTACAAAATCAGCAGCTTTTGTCAGTGCACCAACATCTGTTGTCTCTTTACAAGTCTGCAATGATTAATACAAGATATACTTTTAAAATATATAATATGACAACCACAATGCTATGAACGGTCAAACCATGAATTGTCTGTCGGTTTCATTATATTATGATGTAAGTGTGCAATAAAGTAATGTTATCACTCTAAAGCAATACAATGTTTACATCTGTCCAACAACAAGCCTATAACGGCTGGCAGACAGACAATAGAGCCACTAGCTCCTCAAGATCTCAAAAATCAAATGACTTCAACATACGGAGTGTGGGGGATACCCAATGTGATGTCAAATGCTGTTAAGTCTTCTCATAGAGAAGCATTGGAGTTGCTCCCTCATCGAGGGAGGAGCAGCTGGCGAAAGGAACTATCCATCCATTGGATGAGAGGCAAGTTTCTAAGGCCAAAAACCTAAATTTTACTTACTGTAAATGTATTTTTCCAAGCGGCAGCCATAACAAGTGGGATGTAGTAGCCCATTTCTCACAGGGCAGGTAGCATTGAAAAGGTTAAAGCAAAATGCAGTCCCCACCCCCTTCTAGCCTTATAAAGGGCAACTCCACCCGGAGCTCCCCCATATATAACAAGCTAATAGAAGGATATTGGGTTTACATTTTTCGATCTATATTATAAAGGGAGGGAAATCATGACTGCCGCTTGACTATGGAAAAATAAAATTTACTTTAAGTAAAATTTTGTTTTTTCCAAACATCCAAGCGGTAGTCATAAGTGGGATGATATAGCAAGTTAAACCCCAGGGTGGAAACAATTTCACCTAGAGAACCCACCATACAGGAGCCTGTGGATTATGGCTCCTGAATCACAAGGAATACCATCCCCAGCTAACAGGACTGCCTACTGGAGTAATTCTGGAACACCAGTATTTATATAGCACCTGCAAATTCCGTAGCGCTGTACAAAAGGGATTTTAAACTGTAAGTTAGAACCTTATTCGTATCTGCGGGATAAGAAAATACACAGTTCGTAATCAGCTCTTCCAGAGCTTAAATCCAAATGTGACCTACAACACTTTCATTTAAATTTTCATATAAAATGGAACTAAACACTTCTACAGACATAACCCAAGATTTGGAGAAATCTTACACTCTCTTTAGTTTTCAGAATAGAGAAGGGAAATTGCTTGTTATTCAGATTTTCCCTGGTGGCATTTAAGGTGTTTACTTTAGTGTTTTTTGTCACTTCTACAGACAAACATACCTATATAGGAAAAATATATATTTGCGATAGGGTAATTAACGTAGCCCAATACATACCAAAACCAAACATAAAACATGAAAAAAAAAAAAACTGATATAAATTCCTATCCGTGATGAACATGTGGCTAATAAGACCACTAATTAAACCATTAGCGTGGCCAGCCTCACAACTAGCCATTATAGAGATACTGTCAACATATGGAGAAAACTCCATGAATAAATGTAGAAGAAAAATTAAACCTACAAAGGGTCCCCTAATATACAAGGTAAGAACACAGATATAGAGGGAGAGAGAGAATGGACCCAGAAATGGATTGTGAGTTGGCGGTTACAAAATAGGATGAGGGGGAATTAACGCATCTGGAGGCGTTCAAGTCTGGAAGAATTGTGCAGATCCCAACTTTAGAGTTAGGTGTTATAAAAACATAATGTAGCAAGCTTATACAGTCCTGATATCAAAATGTTCGCAGTACACCGAATACCGTACACTGTGGCTTAATCTTTGGAAAATCATTTGTGAAAAAGATGAAAGGAAAGCTGCAACATATCTGCACATAGGTAATGTGATATAACTAGGGGGAACAAACAAAAACCTACATATAATAGCACATACATTTCAGAAGTAAAAAAACAAACAAAAAAAAATGCATATATCCCAAACTCTACACCTCTGGACATGAAATATGTTGGACTGTGGTGTGGTATTTTGGGCTGCAAAGGCCTAGAGCAGGGATAGGCAACCTTCAGCACTCCAGATGTTGTGGATTACATCCCCCATAAAGCTCTTACACCCATAATGCTGGCAAAGCATCATGGGAGGTGTAGTACAAAACATCTGGATTGCCGAAGGTTGCCTGTGCCGGGCCTAGAGCCTAACAAGAGAAGCGGATTACCATTCTCACTGCATAGCATTTATGGCCTTCGTGGATAATAAAATCAAACCAACTGCTGGTTTACAGTGTCTGGATTCCAGATGTGATTGAGATGCCACCACCTCGCTGTAAAGCCACACACACACACACACAATGTAGCCCAGCCTCTGCACAGCACAGGTTGACTAGTGGAAAACTGATAATAAAGTCAGTTTGATCTGATTGTAACACCATTGTAGTGGGTGCAGCTCATTTCAGAATGGAAACAAAGAAATTATAAATAAAACTGTCCACATATATGGTAGCCATTTGAGCTTGTTTTAAAGCACAGGCCTGGACTAGCTACTCCAGTGACACCTATAATAATCTGGCCCTGCTGGGCTACGCAGCAGACCTTTGTGGCGTAAGACATGGTATTTCAATAAACTGGTGAGGTAAAAATCAAACCATATGTTACAAGTCCAATTGATCCTGGAGGCTTAATACTAGCCTCTTAAGAGACGACGCAACACAAGCCACAACCCGACAAGCCATCACAGAATACTTTGAGATAAACGCAACCCCCGAAGCTAGCCCTACCGCGATCTGGGCAGCGCATAAAGCAGTACTACGCGGCCACTTCATTAAACTAGCCACACAGAAAAAGAGGGCTAAAACAAAACAGCTACTCGACCTACAGTCTGCCCTACGTAAAAAAGAGCAACAACACAAAACGAATCCGACAGACTTGAACCTTAGGGAACTCAATAACCTCAGACACTCTATCAGGGACCTCACCTTGGAGGCGGTATCACGCTCTATCCTATGGTCCAAACGCTTGTTTTACGAGAAAGCAAATAAGACAGATACACTCTTGGCTAGGGCGCTCCGCCCGAGACCGCAAGGCAAAATCATAACAAAAATACGCACAACAGATACACTAGCCGAAACGCCCGACGAGATTAATGCAGTGTTCACCTCCTACTTCTCAGAACTATACAACCATTCCCCCCGCCTCCGGGCCACCAATGCGGCCTACATTGCAGACATACGCCAATTTCTCTCTGAACTCACTATCCCAAAGGTGAATGGGGCTGAAGCGGAAGCACTACAAGAACCAATCACACAACTCGAGGTGGAGGCAGCCATAGCTTCCCTGAAAGGCAATAGGGCACCAGGTCCGGACGGATATGACATTAGCTATTACAAACAATTCAAAGACGTATTAGCCCCCCAGCTGACGACCCTTAGCAACCATTTTCTGCAGGGTGGGACACCGGATGGCGACATGGCGACAGCAAATGTTGTCCTCCTACCAAAACCAGGGAAAGAAGACACACTGGCCTCGAGCTACAGGCCAATCTCACTTATTAACACTGACCTCAAAATATTCGCCAAAATCCTGGCGTCCAGACTCAACGTACTGCTCCCGCGCTTGATCCACCCAGATCAGGTGGGCTTTATGCCAGGCCGCCAATTGTATGAAAATACGAGACGAGGGGTCAGCACAATCTGGCACATGGGGGAATCCGGGGCGCCTTCTCTGGCGCTCTCACTAGACGCGGAGAAGGCGTTTGATAGGGTGTTATGGCCTTATTTATTTGAATTACTCCGATTCCAGGGGTTCCCGGAGACCTTCGTAACAGCTATACGAGCATTATACACCGATCTGAGGGCACAAATACTCATTACAGGGGCACGCGCAACACCCTTCACCCTGGGAAACGGCACCAGACAGGGTTGCCCATTGTCCCCCCTGCTCTTCGCCTTAACCTTGGAGCCACTACTACAAGCTATCAGGCAACACCCGCACATCAGGGGCGTCACGGTGGGGGGAACACCATTCACGGTCTCGGCGTATGCCGATGATGTCATGCTGACGCTCAGGGAGCCGAGACACTCTCTCCACCATTTATCGCTCGTACTGGAGTGATTTGGCAATATAGCAGGGTACAAAATTAACTACTCCAAGTCCGAGGCAATGCCCTTCCACCTGGAGCCCCCGGAACTCACCCATATACGCGACACGTATCACTTCAAGATAACCACTGACGAACCCACGTATCTAGGGATACGGCTAACAGCGAACACATCCTCCCTATTTGCCCGCAACTATACACCCCTATTCCGGACCCTTCTCACAGAACTAGAGCAGTGGACGGACAGGCCCATCTCATGGCTGGGGAGAGTAAACTCTATAAAAATGAATGTGCTGCCGAGGATGCTATTCCTCTTTCAAGCACTCCCAATAAGAGTAACACGGAGGGACCTGACGGGAATACAAAGAGCGATTGATGCCTTCATATGGCACAACAAACGCCCAAGAATCGCGCGCGCCCTCATGTACAGACCGAAACCCATGGGGGGGCTGGGACTACCCAATGTCTACACCTATTATCTAACTGCACAGCTGACACAGTGGCACACACCTCCTGACAGGAGACGGTGGGTGGATCTAGAGTCGCTGATGACAGGTCAGGATCTCCCGCAATTTTCAATATGGGCACCCAAAGCGCAAAGAGCCATATTAAGAACAGCGAACCCAGCCATACTCAACTCCATACAGATTTGGGACCAAACCAAAACGAAATACGCCCTCAGCTCCCACCCGTCCCCCATGACACCAGTCCTTAGGAATAGGGCCTTCCCTCCCGGAATGCAGGCGAGAGACTATAAGGGGAGAGAGGCCACGGGACTCCAAAGATACGTACACCTATATGTGAACCAAAATGTAGTCACCTACGAACACCTAGCCACCAAAGCCAACTTACGAACAAGAGACTACTTTAGGTACATGCAGATCCGTGACTTTGCACAAAACCCTGACATACGGAAGGCGGCTCTGACACCACTAACCTTCTTCGAAAAACTATGTTACAATGAAACAACACAAACTAAACTCATTACGCTACTATACAACCACCTCAATGGGAACTCGAACGAGGAGAGCACGCTGCGATACACCGACCAGTGGGAAGCCGACCTGGGGGAGGTATTAGAGGGAACAGAGTGGCAGGACATATGGGAAGCATGTAGCAAAACCACAATATGTGTGACGCTCCAAGAGCAATCGTATAAAACACTATTTCGATGGTACCTGACCCCCGTGAAACAGAAACATATGGGGCTAAGTCCCACAGACGACTGCTGGCACGGGTGCGGGGCACGTATATACATATGTGGTGGGGCTGCCCGAAGGTCGCAGACTACTGGAGTAACATTGTGGAGCTTAGCTCCCAAATCCTGCAAAGGCGACTGGGATTAGACCCATGGGCATGTCTGCTCTCAAGACCCACAAAGGATCTCCCCAGACACGAGCAAAGACTTCTTAACATGCTCTATTTAGCGCCCGAAGGTCCCTAGCACAACAGTGGTCATGTCCAGATCTCCCACATATATCCCTGGTTAACACAAAAATACGAGACAATTACATAATGGATAAATTGACCTCTCAGGTGCGAAACACCATGACTAAGTTCCAAAAAGTCTGGGATCTGTGGGAGCAATACGATACTTAGCACAACAACTTGGGGCGCGGGGCAGCATCCACGCAACTTTCAATTGGCGGGGCGGGGGCCCACCAAACGCCAACCACCACATCAACACTCGGACAGGCGGAAGAGGCACCACTGCTAGACGGGGGTGGGGCCGGGCCCAGCACATAAAACACAACTTAAGGGAACTGACTACCCCCGTCGGTAGCTCACTCGGTAACCATGTCAAACCGATATGGCTAACCACGCAGGTACTTGTCTCCAACTCTTTACTTTCCTTTCTATCTCTCTCTTGTAGGCAGGCACCCAAGACCTGTAAGTAGGCAGAAGGGGAAAGGCAGATAAAAGCACATCAGCGTTTTGTGGTGCGTAGAAGGGGGGGGAGGGCGCAGTTACATACCCCAGGAAGCGGCGAGACCGACACTCCACTCTATAAGCCTAACCCTTCACAGCAAAGCTATTGTACATAGTTAACACTGCTTGCCACCTATACCAAAAATTCAGACGAAGTCACCCACAGAAAACTTGATGTATATGATATGCCTAAACTGACAACTGTCACTTGCATTATATATGCTAATGTATGACTGCGCTGTCATGTACATAAATGTAACTGCTTTCATGATTACCATCTACTTTGTCAAACCAAAAATAAAGAATTAAAAAAATCAAAAAAAAATACTGAAATCTGGTTTGATAAAATACAGATTGACCTTAAAGGGTCCAAACTGGAAACGAATATTTAGTTTTAGCCCAACTCACAGTTGGCTGACCGTCCCAAACATGGTCATGCTGGAAGATAATGATATAAATTTGATGTGACCCAGGGAAAGTGTATGGAGATTATTTAAAGAAACTAGAAAAACGAAATGCTCATTATGGACATAAAGTAAAAATAAAAAGCTGCAAATTTCTACTACCAGCAAGTCTGGGTTTCATACTAGACAGGAATACACAGCCTAAAATTGTTATATATGGTCTAAAATATAAACCTAAGAAAAATAAACATTTGATTGCTTCAAGGGAGTAACCACATCTATTATCCAAAGCACAGCTAAGATTGAACGCAGAAGGGCCCCACAAGTTAATGCTTGAACGCTCAGAGACTGACATGTTAACAGTCACTATAGAAAAGAAAGATCGACTAAGAGAGCCAAGTACCAGAACCCTTGCTTTTCACCTGACCTGAATCTGACATATCAGAAATGTAAAATAGGGAATCAATTAAATGTAGATGTAACTCAATTGTATTAGTAGCTGACAATTTAACCCTTGATTGCGACTAAAGATACGCCGCCTTCCATAAGTAGAATAAAACTAGAACCAAACTTTAGATGATTTACAGGAAGGTACATTCTAAGTCTAACAACTGGTCTAGATGCTGCATCTCATATGTTCTAGGAATTGTATTCTCAAGAGTAAAAGATATTTTACCCCATTAAACCCTTTCCTGCACAGATAGCAGTGGATCTGATACTAATCAGACATTACTGAGGATAACCATAGGTTCGAATAAAATTCCAACAGTAATTGATATTGACAGCAAACAGAGTTAAAACAACCATAATGGTCAAACTATAGAGGAATTCACTTTGTTCAAGAAAGAAACCTGTACATAGGTGGGTCTGAGCACTGCCCAAAGACATGTAGCTAGGCTGTACATAGGTGGTCTGAGCACTGCCCACAAACATGTAGCTAGGCTGTACATAGGTGGGTCTGAGCACTGCCCAAAGACATGTAGCTAGGCTGTACATAGGTGGGTCTGAACACTGCCCAAAGACATGTAGCTAGGCTGTACATAGGTGGGTCTGAACACGGCCCAAAGACATGTAGCTAGGCTGTACATAGGTGGGTCTGAGCACTGCCAACAAACATGTAGCTAGGCTGTACATAGGTGGGTCTGAGCACTGCCCAAAGACATGTAGCTAGGCTGTACATAGGTGGGTCTGAACACTGCCCAAAGACATGTAGCTAGGCTGTACATAGGTGGGTCTGAGCACTGCCCAAAGACATGTAGCTAGGCTGTACATAGGTGGGTCTGAGCACTGCCCAAAGACATGTAGCTAGGCTGTACATAGGTGGGTCTGAGCACTGCCCAAAGACATGTAGCTAGGCTGTACATATGTGGGCCTGAACACTGCCCACAAACATGTAGCTAGGCTGTACATATGTGGGCCTGAACACTGCCCACAAACATGCAGCTAGGCTGTACATAGGTGGTCTGAACACTGCCAACATACATGCAGCTAGGCTGTACATAGGTGGTCTGAACACTGCCCACAAACATGCAGCGAGGCTGTACCTAGGTGGCCTGAACACTGCCCACAAACATGCAGCTAGGCAGTACATAGGTGGGCCTGAACACTGCCCACAGACATATCCAAATTAATTTATTTAGGAAAGAAAAAGACTATTAAGATGAAAGCTACTTGGTCTCACCGTAATAAGCCTCTGGTGTGCTGGAGGGCTGGGGAGAGCACACTGGTAACTAATCTGAAACACACCCGGAGGCTAGTTACTGCTGTGTTTAAATATCCTGCTATTAGGCTCCAGATTCAAGAGTTGTTGCCAGGTGCCGAGATCGCTTTGTGAATGCGCATAGCACTCTGAGATCTGTAAGTAGAATGCAACAACACTCCAGTGTGTTGTCCACATATGGAGCCTCCCAGCTGTGCGTACAGACGCACCTTCGCCTCTTCCATCACGGATTGGGCAGAATGATAAAGGAGTGAACCACAGGAGCCTGTCGTGTGTTCATATCCTATGATAATTGAAAGACACGTGCACTGGCCAAGCAAACCTTCAAAAAGCAAGACGGAGCCGCAGCCCCCTCACCAAGTGTTTCCAAAACACACACACACAAAAAAAAAGGGGGAATTCTGCCAAGGGAAGGCAGAGCTCTACTTCCTGACCTGTCTCTCGCTCGAGGACAAGCAAATACTGGGGAGCTCAGGGTGGAGTTGTTCTTTATAAGGCTAGGAGGGGAGGAGACTGGGGACTGCATTTTGTTGTTTTAACCTTTTCAATGCTACCCCTGTCCTGTGAGAAATACATCTCACTTGTTATGACTGCCGCTTGGACATTTGAAAAAAATACATTTATAATGATTGAATGACGCTTTATTAGAAAGAAGAAAAAAAAAAATAGGTGGAAACTTGGCAAACTTTTACCTTTATTTCCACATTTCTTGATTTTAAGTTAAAGCGAACTTGCAGTTGTAGATGTTCCACAATGGGTGTAAAGATTTTCATCCAGTTTTCCTTAAGTGGGGTGTATCTGTGAGAAGGTACGGGGATTTTTCTCATTTCTTCTCTGCCACCCTACAAAACACACGAGAGCAGCATTGATAAAAATCATGCAGAAATAATATTCCATCCACATACAGTGACAGCTCTACAGTGTTTTTACAGCCCCCAAATGAACAGATAGGGGAACAAATATCATGTAAGAGTAATACATACACAATACAAAAAGCAATGCCAATAATATGTGAACTTTGCTTTGTAATGAAGTATGTGTCACTGTCACACATTAACCTTTAGCTGAGGCTTCGAGTAAATACATGAAATGTGTATTCCCAACACGATAGTGTTTGTTCCATTTCACATTACATATACAAATTGTAATAATCTATTGCGGTTATTCTCCTTATGGATATCATAAACATGCTTTTTTATTGTAAAAGTCGTTTAAAATGTAATAAACAATACACATGATTCACAGAATCCCATGTATTGACTGGTTTCTCTTTAAAAGGACGTACTGCATTAGCTGACTGTTTTCATTTAATTTTTCATTCCATGTATTAGTCTCCAGTTATTACAGTCCCAGTAAAAGCTTCCCAATCAAACATTGAGTCTTTCATATGAAGAATTAAATACATAAAAATGTTATTAAGAATAAAAGGAACAGATATACATATGAAACAACCCTTAATTTAAAGGAACACTAGGGGCACCAGAACTTCATTGGAATGAAATGGTTATGGTGCGTGAGGTCCATGGTGCTAGATTACCATGAGAAGTACCCCAGAATACTGAATTCAGCCACTGCCCTTCCGCTTCTTGAAACAGGAAGCCAATCATTGGCGCCCACTTATAAAAAACAGCTAGAGAAACGTACATATTATTTCAAGGAATTTTCTTAAAACAATGTATAGCTATGGATTTGCTTAGAGCGCCAGATGACTCTCTCCGTCAATCAGCTGAGAGAAACCCCCTGTCTGAGGTTTCCATTTTCAAAAATCAGAGAAGAGAGGAAGGGCAGGAGCAGAGCGAAACATAACTTGTTTCAAGACTTTGGGATTTAAAGCATCTGTGTATGGTTTAACCCTTAGTGGTAAGTCTCCTGGCACCATAACAAATTAATGGGACATTATAGGAATCAACACTACTTTAGCTTAATGAAGCGGTTTTGGTTTATAAATCGCAGAGAAGGTTCTGTACCCTATACCTGGTCTGACAGTGCGCAAGCCTGTCAGAGCGAGCAAGTGTGTGTGTGTGTGTGTGTAGGTGTGCACCTGTCAGAATATATGTGTTTGTGCTTGCATTTAGGTACCTGCCCCCTCCGATTGCATGAGGCAGGTGTTTTTGCTCACCTTATTTTTCTCCACGCTGTACCACCTCCATGGCTGAGATGATCAATCTTTATGCTCTCAGCTAAGCCAATGCTTTCCCTTAGGAAATCATTGGGAGGATTTTGTGAATGCGCAGCAAATTTACCAATCTGCAACTCCTCATAGGGATGCATTGAATTAATGAATCTCTATGAGGAACATTCAGTGCCTACATGCAGAGATGGAAACCCTGAATTTAGGTGCTGCACATGGTGCAGCAGTGACCCAGGACTCTCTAGTGGCCGTCTGAGTGACTGTCACTAGAGGTGTTGTTAAGCAGCAATGTAAACACTGACTTTCTGCTGAAAAGGCTTGGTTACACTGAAAAGCCTGCATCGTATATAGTCACCAGAACAAGTACATCAAGCTGTGGTGATTCTGGTGACTATAGTGTCCCTTTAATGGCTAGTTGAAAATGACTGTCTCCTAGATTCCAAGCAAATTTGTCAATCTCTGATTTAACTGTATATTCAACCTGGCACTACCATAATGTCTGACAAATGGCGAGCGTACAACAATCTATTTGATGAAAATTTATATTTACCGTGCAAATCACTCACTGAACATTATAAATACAAAGACAGATGCCCACTCGCAGGCAGTGGAATCCAAGTAGAGAAAGGTGAAGTTTAAGAACAAAATCCGCTTGGACACTCCTAGGAGCACATTGGATTTGTACCGATGTGAATTTACGTGACGGAAAAAAGTCAAACAATGATGACATTTATTTCTAAATTTCTAGAAAGCTCATAGCGTATTGGCACCAAGAGTGACATTACTGTGTGTCTATATATATATATACACACACACACAGTATAATAAATGTACATTATAACAAGTTATATATAAAATTTGTTATAAATGTACATTTCTTATGCTGTATTTCTTAAAACGTTTCAAAATTTATTGCAGATCAGACCAAAAAAAAAAAAAAAAAACCACACAAAAAGTTTAAAATATAATTTATTTATTTTTTACCTAGTTTGTTATACTGTATATTTAGTAAAAAGTTTCAAACTATATTGAGGTTAGGTTGAATATCCCAGAATTGGTGTGGGGCAGATAACAGAAAGTCTCTCTCCCCCCCCTCCTGCCTGCGGGGGGTCTCTGGTCACGGTTTGTCCTGCTCTCCGCACTTACCGTCAGACTGTCACCGGACACGGGGGGGAAATCCGGCCTCTTCCTCGGTTTCTCCCCGGTCTCCATGGCCTTCCCATCCTCGGCCGCCTTCCTCTTCCTGCTGCGCTTGGCCCTCACGCTGGTGAAGGCTCCCTCGGTGGCGCTGGCTGCGCTGTCGACCTCCATGCTGACTCTCTGGGTGCTACACGTGCAGAGCGGCAGCCATGACGCACTCACCGAACAGGGCGGAGTTACAGCACTGCAGCGGATAGACCACTTTCACAATGACGTAATGCGAACAGGACCCCCTAAACGTCATATCCGGAAAGCTGTCCCGCACAGTGCCTGCCTACAAAATTCCGCATTTTGACCGTTTTCTCCTCCCTGTCAGCCTTCAGGTTGACTTTCATGGGTGAATTAGCACTAAATAACCGCAGTACCTGTTTCCCCCCAGTTGCGTTTCTCTGGCGGGCAGTCAGTCAGGCGGGCGCGGGGCAGCCCGGGGGGGAGGGGCCAGTGTGGCAGTTTGAGAGGTGGGCGGAGCTCGGAGAGTTGCTGGTTTGTTCCTCTGGCAGCCGGTGTCCCCCGCAGCCATGTCCTCCCCGCTGGAGAAGCCGCAGATCGTCGCCCACGTGCAGAAGTCGGTGAATTACACGCTGTTTGACTGCAAATGGCTGCCGAGCAGCGCCAAGTTCGTGTGTCTGGGCAACCTGGCCCGCGGGAGCGGCATCATGCAGGTCTACGAGATCCAGCACGGGGAGGCCAAGCTGCTCCGGGAGGTCAGTGTGCCCCGGCCGGGTGTCACCGGCTCACCATCCCCGGGGCGCTCACCATGCCCGGATAAAAAACCGAATTAACCGAATCTGGGAGATTTTAACTCAGTCTGCGGGGTTTGCGTCACCTGTTGTCATGGCAACTGATCCTGAGCACAACAGGAGTTTGGGAAAAATATAACAAATAATAACAAATAATGCTGTGACTGAAATAATAACAAATAATGCTGTGACTGAAATAATAACAAATAATGCTGTGACTGAAATAATAACAAATATTCTGTCAACAATTCAACCACTAGCTAATAATTAACATATATATATATATTATTTACTGTACAGTGTGATTAGTATTTTCTATATATATATATATATATATATATTATTTACTGTACAGTGTGATTAGTATTTTCTATATATATATATATATATATATTATTTACTGTACAGTGTGATTAGTATTTTCTATATATATATATCCAGTAGAGATTAGAATTTAGACATAGTAGTTATGCAGACATGTACATATATAATGGGTGTGTAATTCATTTGAATACTTTTACAATCAAATGCAGTTAACTCAAAGTGAAGTGTAGGTCTGTATGTGTGATGGTCTAATTGTACGTTAGTTTGTGGTAGTACGGATGAGTGAAAGTGCTGCCAATTAATGTAGAATATAGTGTCGCTTAGTAACTCATAGTGCAGAAGAAATAGAATTATAAATTTAATGTTGATGTACTTTTACTTTGTATCCCACAGATTGAGAAAGCTAAACCTCTAAAATGCGGGACCTTTGGAGCCAGTTCTCTGCAGCAGAGATATTTAGCCACTGGTGATTTTGATGGAAATCTCAATGTGTGGTAAGGGAGTGTTCCATAGCTCAGTATTACGGTCAGTATTTGCTGGGCGCCAGTCTCTTCCTCCATGGAGAGCTGGAAGCTCCAGCAAGGAGCTTTCATCAGCTTTTCTGAACTAGACCCTGCTGTGCAGTCCGGCTCATTGGCTGAGAATAGTGACTAATGGCTTTTATCCAATGAGCGAAGCCTTGCTCTCTTAATGAAAAGAGCTCCCGGCTAGAGTGGAGAGTGAGATTGGTGCCTGGTCAGAAGTCAAACAATTAGCAAATGGTTTGACTGCTTACATTGGGAGAGCACCAGGGAATTCCTGGCACCATAACCACTACCTCACACTAAAGTGGTTATGATACTTATGTGCTTCTTTAAAATAATCTACTCATGGACGAATTGCAAGTACAAATCATTGCATGCCTCATTATAATGGTAGGTATGAAAGTGAGACAAGAGTGTGTGTAGCTGATTAGAGTCATGCCAGTGATGTGAATCAAGATGCAAACCTACAAAGTAGTTCAGACTCACCAGTAGCACACACTGAGGAAAAAATATATATATAAAAAAATATATATGGGTCCAAAATCAGCATTGTCCCACCATTTCTGTGATTGTCTCCCTGTTACATAAAATCTGTTTTAGGTTTATGTGGAAAAAGCTAAAATTGTGATTGTTTAGTCACATGACCTGTTCCTTTATGTTCGCAGGAATTTAGAAGCTGCTGACACCCCTGTCTACTCTGTGAAAGGCCACAAAGAAATCATTAACTGTATAGACGGAGTGGGAGGATTAGGCATCGGTGAAGGAGCCCCAGAGATTGTCACTGGAAGCCGTGATGGTAAGTCTTTATTGACTAAAATACAGGGCTTCTTGCAGCATAAAATGTATGAATAAAAAGTCTGAATTTCACTTTGCATCTGATTTTATACTAGGGTAGTAAAGCGGCACTAAACCCTTTATGAAATGAGTTTATGAAATACTCATATTGACAATTGTAATTCCCCTGAAATTGCAATGCAGTCAAAAGTTTTATCAAGACAGGTTAGGGACTATTTTCCTATGCGTGACAAATTTGACAAAAAGGTGGAGCTACCTACAGATGTGACGGCTGAGTGGAAAAAAGCTTTGTCTATGGAGAATCCCTCGGTCCTGCAGGATGTGAGAGTACAGAGTGAATGTGAGCTTCTGCATTTTAGTGTCTCCCTCTCTCCCTCCCTCCCTGTTACTTTCATGTAGTTTAGCTCAGTTTCTGCCCGACCTTCCGCAAGCAGGATCTTCAAATGTGAATGTCTAGAAGAATGTGAACAGGAAGTAAACCCAGCCCTATTCCAGCTAACTTACGGTTAGTCAATAAAAAAATCTACTTGTAGAATAAAGTACTAAAACAGTCTATTTTTTTTCGGTTTCTTTCTGATGTGTTTCAGGAACAGTGAAAGTGTGGGACACGAGGCAAAAGGACACCCCTGTTGCTAATATAGAACCAGTAGAAGGAGAAACCAAGAGAGATTGTTGGACAGTCGCATTTGGTAAGTTATATATGAGTACGTAAGTAATTGAAGCATACCATGCAAATTTATCTCCAATAATGCCATATACACACATATTTAAGGGATGCCATGTGCTTGCGCAGCGTTTCTCTGTAGATGCCAGAGAGCTCACTGATTGCATCACAATGATGGTGATGAGGTTGCATCGCAAATTTCAATGCATCTTCTGCACAAATACCCCAGAAAGCACCTCAATAGTATAAACTGGTGTATGAGCATATGGAACATCTAACGTGATCACTCTGCTGCAGTGTTTTTATGGAGTTTTCTTTTTTAAAGCCAGCACAGGCCAAACACAGCCCTGGCCAATCCTCATCTCCTCATAGAAATGCATTGAATCAGTGCAGCTCTATGAGGAAAGTTTAGTGTCTACATGCACAGGGTGGAGACAATGGATGCCCCAGGAAGCGTGACATGTCATGATTCCCTTTTATTCCAGAAGTTTGGTCCTTAAGGGGTTAAAGACTGTGTTTACTGCAAAAATGCCTGAATGTAATAATTCTACTCACCAGAACAAATACAATAGGCTGTTGATTATTGTCTCCCTTTAAGACAGATTTAAAAAGACCCCAAAATACACAGAAAGTGCCCAATAGCAACCTTGTCATGTAAATAAGTTGAAAAGCCCAGACAGATATATATTCATTTGATATTTATTTCATACAAGACTCTCTTTATCACATGATTGTACTAAAGAACATATCCAGAAATGGAACATCAGGTATATGTGAATTAATCTGTACAGTTTAAACACGTATTAGGGGTCTGCTAGGTTGGAGAAATTATACCTGGAGTCCTCAGCCCATCACTGGCTGCCCAGCAAGCCTTACTGTTCGCTCTGGTGGCTCAGGACAAATGAAGAGAGGAGGTAGAGGTTTCAGGCACTGGGTGACCAAATGTGAGGTTAAAATGTTGGAAAATGGATTAACCTTTGAAAGTAAGATGTTGCGTAGACACTCCTGTCACCTTGACAACTTCAATTATCGGGACTTGTTGTAGAGTGGGAGTGTTCTTTTAATAAGTTCACATCCTCTGGACATATTATAAATCGTTTTAGTTAAGGCTTACTGTGATGTTTTTCGGTGTTTGATAGTTGCATAAAATATAGTGGGTAATATATATATTCTTATTAAATTTGTTTATCTTTTATTCTAGGCAATGCCTATAATCAGGAAGAACGTTCTGTGTGTGCAGGATATGACAATGGGGATATTAAACTTTTTGACCTCCGGAAAATGGCCTTAAGATGGGAAACTAATATTAAAAATGGGGTAAGATTTTTTTTTATTTATTTGTTTTGTCCGGAGATTCGCGTTATCTTGTGTATGAATTTTGGGTGTACCTTATAGATTAATCTACTACGATCATCCAAATTTACTCCTTAGCAACATGGTAGTACTAACTAATAATACGTGGTCACGTGACCAGGTTAACAGCTTATCATGATAGAGGGTGGGCTATTTAAAGCCCGTGTATGGTCAGCCTTGTTCGGCATTCCTGATGATCTTGACATAGAAGGGGAAACGCCCGTTGCGTGCGTGATCCTTTTGTATTACTTTTTTATTTTTCCCTTAGATGTGTAGATACTTTTTATGTCATAGAGGGCTGACAAGCAAGTAGGTATATTCTGCTGAACTGAGTCTGTTAGCCAGGGCTAGTTTGGGGATCCGCCTGTCTCATACATTTTCTCCAACTCCCACCCTATAGTGTCCTCATTGGTGCGATATACCCTATATAGCTACTCAAAGTATCTGAGCAGTCTGACCCCCAGAGGTTAACTGTGGGTACCACACCTTTGTGCTATATCTTGGTTATTAGTCAAAAGTACGCAGGTTGTCTGGAGCTATTTTATAACTGTGACCCCTAGTGACTAATATATGGTACTACACATAGGAATTAGTATTTGCATATCCAGTATTTATTCTATTCATTCAAGTTTACCTTATAAAGATATTAATAATTATTGTTTGTGACTTTTTTTTTTTTAAACGGTTCATTCAAAGTTTTTTTTAAATTTTATTTATTTATTTTTTTCACATTATTTGCACACATCCACTTCTACTGGATCCGAACTGTTAAGATATTGCTTTCCCTACATTTTATAGGTCTGCAGTTTGGAGTTCGATAGGAAGGACATAATAATGAACAAATTGGTTGCTACGTCACTAGAAGGGAAATTCCATATTTATGACATGAGAACAGAACATCCTAAGAAAGGTTTTGCAAGTCTCACTGAAAAGGTAAGTGCGTTTTGCTTCATTTCCATACCTTTTTTTCTTGCAAAGCTCCACAGTGAGCCTAAAAATGAAAATAGTGGAATTCATGTCTTTCACCTTCCGCTGAGCAACAATACATTTAGAATCTCTTACTGAATATCTTAACTTTGCCTTCAGCTATCTTATTGTATCTTTAATGTTATATGATTAAAAAAGATACAGATTTTTTCCTGCACAGCAGCTGGGATGCCAAAAACTGTTCCCTGATCTTCCAACTGCAACACAGACATGAACACAGACACATACAAGGCCTAGATTTCTTAAAGCTAATATTAAAATAAAGTGTACGTAAAATATGACGGTAAACTTAGAAAACAACTGGGGGTTGCCTCTCCTGCTCCTCTCTTTGTAAACACTAATGTCAGAGGGGAGGGGGAATGCCAAGGCAGCATTTTTTTTTTTTTTATATATATATTTTATCTTGCCCAGACTCTATAGTACTTTATATAGACATAATTTAAGCCTACTGTAGTGGTTATTTCTCCAGGAGTGCTCTGATGCTGTCCCGTGGCAAGTAGTCAAGCCGTCTTGTAATGGCTTCACAATTTTCTGGGTCCTCCATGTAACATAGAATGTGACGGCAGATAAGAACCATTCGGCCCATCTAGTCTGCCCAATTTTTAAAAATACTTTCATTAGTCCCTGGCCTTATCTTATAGTTAGGATAGCCTTATGCATGTCCCACACATGCCTAAACTCCTTTACTGTGTTAATCTCTACCACTTCAGCTGGAAGGCTATTCCATGCATCCACTACCCTCTCAGTACTGTGCCCAGTTCCTGTGGACAGCAGTAGATCCCATTATTCTTTAGCAATATCGATTTTGTCCCTATTTTACTTGTTGGATTCGACACGGCAATAAAAAAAGTTGGTTTATTTATTTATTTTTTTCATTTATTTTATTTACCATAATGCCTGTACCTTGAATTACAAAACCGTGATAATTTTTTGCAGAACTGACTCATTTTTGGTTTTATCGGATGTAATGATGTTATTTTCTAACTTTTCTTCTTCTCTAAAAAAATAAAACCAGGTTAATAAATCCACTCTCTGGCAAATTCGACATCTTCCGCAGAATAGAGATATCTTCATGACAGCAGGAGGAGCAGGAAGTCTCCATCTTTGGAAATAGTAAGTAACTGAACTGCTTGCATTCGCTCAACATTTTCTAGATAAGGGGTGTCCAGGTTCATCCTGCCAGTTTTCCATGAATTGTCCAAAAGTGACTTGAACACTCATCTAGTAGCCACCATCAAAATTCTTGGGCCAATAATATTCTTTTCTTTTTTTTTTTTTCTCCCTTTTTCTTATTGTTTAAAGGGACAATACAGTAAAAGTGCTTCACTGTCTGTTATTTCAATAGAAATCCAACTTTTAAAAACCGAACAAAATACAGATTAATACTACCTTAGAAAGTACCCTATTCAATGTTAAAAAACAACCACACATCACCATCAAGTGCCAGAATCCCACTGACTACTACCAGTATGTCACAATTCCTTGGGATGTTATAGTTTGCCTCAAGAAAAAAGGAGAAAAAAAAACACAATAGTGCAGATAGACCAAAAAGGGAAAATTTGGAAGATTATAAGCACACTATTCCCATATTAGGGTATACCAGCTCACATATACCGGAGCCCTTATGAAGAACGGTTTATGGGTGTCTCTCCTGTCATTGGCTCTATGTTCTCTATCATCTCTTCCCCACCATTTTAACCAGAAATGTGTGTGTGTGTGTGTATCTTTATCTCCATTTCTCTATCTCATATCTCTCAGTATAGTATTACACTCACACTTTTAACATGCAGTTGTCATTGTATTCCAGAATTCAGTATTCTCTCAATCAGAATGTTGTTGGAATACAACAATAAAATGTAGGGGGTATAACCTCTTAAACATGTTTCACCTCAAATCCAGGCTTCCTCAGTCAGTGAGTTAAGTAAATGACGTTCTAAAATCAAGCTATTCCAATAATATTAGAACAATATATTCTGTATTCTATGCGTCTATATGAAGGAAGGGATGAATAGTTTGTTTGTTAGGAATTGCGGTCTTGTCATTGCCATTTGCTGAATATATTTATTTTGCTTTTGTAGTGAATACCCTGCTCATCGATCAGAAAAAGACTCTGATGGTGTGGAAAAGGGAGTTGTAGGAACGGTCAGTCTTCTACAGAATGTGACTCTATCGACACAGCCGATATCTAGCTTAGACTGGAGTCCAGATAAGCAAGGATTGTGCGTTTCTACATCATTTGACCAGGTTGTTAGAGTGCTGATTGTCACGAAGCTGAATAAATTTTAATCCAGATGTTCTATAGCTGCAACAGCTACTCATAACAGACTATTGATCCAGGTTCCGAGTATTACTTTTGTACATCTTTTTTTTTTTTTTAACCAGGTTTACGAGTGGGGAGCTATCCTCACATCTGATATAAATGAGCCAAATAAACCCATATTTTAATATATTATCCTTCACTGTCCTAGTCCCATTTTGAAAAAGTTCTTTATCTCTTCTGATTTGACATGATGAAAGTGCCTCTAATATTCTCAATTCAGGGAACAAAAACTACCCAATATGACTGTCTGTCTATTCTTTATGTTACAAATAAACAGCAACGTCTTTCTGTTTCATAATTTTCTTTCATGATTGCTCGTTTTTCTAAAAAATAAAATCTATTACATGGTTTTTCGTGAACTAAATGAACTATGAGGAAACTGCATTGTGTATTTGTCTTCGTAATGGCTCAAGGAAGAAAATATAGTGTATTTTGTGCCTTGTTTTATAGTAAGATGTATAATTTGCAGGTTTAGTCTTTACGTTGCTCTGTAGCCTGAAATTGTATGAAGGGTTTGGAGGTAAAGGACTGGTAGTGTGAGGGATTAACAAATGACACCAATGGTGTGATGTTGGACAGATGTGTATATACACAAACTGTGTGGCCCATTACACATCTGACTGTGCAGCTGAACAATTCAGAAATTTGTATATATGAAAGTCTATTGTGGTAGAAATGGGTAGGCCTGAATAAAGAGGGCCCAGGACATAATTGTTATGGGGAGTGGTTGGTGGGGTTCCAAATGCCAAAGGAATGTCTGGAGGTAGCTGGGGAGGGTTAAGAAATAGGCCCGATAACCCATCCCACAATTTCAGGCATACTGCTTTCCCATTCACTGTTTGTGGCTTTTTAGATAGTACTTACCCAGAGATCCCCTCACAAATTCAAACATTTTCCTTATATTTGTCAAAAAACAAATGTGTGTAGACAATGATTTGTGCAATTAGGTACAGAACAGCTGGGTTACCACCAAAATCCAAACATCCTTTTGTATTGCAATGCAGGTAACTCTGCAACGACATATTGGTATCCTCTTATTCCATTATACAAAAGTGGATCTGACAATGATATAATCAGTGTGGTCTGTCAAGCTGGCTTCCATGAAGATTCAGAAACCTGTATATAAGACTATAGCCATTGCTGCAACTCAAGAATAGTGATGGTTTGAGCACAGGATTTGTTTCGCACAGCCATGTCTTCGTGCTGCTGTGTTAAGGGTTAATTAATTGCTAGCGATTCATAAGTACACACTCTTCTGTCTCATTAGAGCTTTCAGCTGAAAGCAGCAAGGTGAATTTTACATAGTTACATAGCTGAAAAGAGACTTGTGTCCATCAAGTTCAGCCTTCCTCACATATGTTTTTGTTGTTGATCCAAAAGAAGGCAAAAAAAACCCCAGTCTGAAGCGCTTCCAATTTTGCAACAAGCTAGGGAAAAAAATGCCTCCTTCACCCCAAAATGGCAGTCAGATTAATCCTTGGATCAAGCAGCTATTACCCCACTAAATAGAAATTATATCCCTGTATGTTATGTTTTAGAAGTATTTATCCAATGGCAGTTTAAACATCTGTATGGACTCTGATAAAACCACCTCTTCAGGCAGAGAATTCCACATCCTTATTGCTCTTACTGTGTAAAAAAAACCAAAAAAAAAAAAAAACCTTTCCTTTGCCTTAGATTAAATCTCCTCCCTTCCAGCCTAAATGCCTTACCTCACATCCTATGTATAGCCCTGTGTATTAATAGATTTCCAGATAATGGTTTGTACGGAGCCGAATATATTTGTATAATGTTAACATATCCCCTCTGAGGCGCCGTTTTTCCAAACTAAAGAGATTGTTGGTGTGGGACATATCTTAACGTTGGCAGGTGAGCTTGCATTGCCCTTTCGATGGTACCAAAACACCTCTGTTATTTAAATGTCCATAGGGAATTGGGATAGTGTGCAGGTAACCTTCTTAGTTTTGTAAAGTATAACATAATAGCTTTAAATACTAACCCATCCAGATATTGTTATTGAATCCATTTCACTATGATGTTCAGAGAATGGTAAAAAGGATGTTTCCTACATAAACTGGTTTGTAGTCACCAATTGTGCTCCTTAATATAAGGCAACAGATCCATTATTTGTCTAGGAGTTTTACTTTATTCTATTAAATCATGTTTAGTGGGCAAATACCTCCCATTTAGAACAATTCTAGTTGATAAAATCTGCACACATGGTGTGTATGTATAGAGTGCCAGATATACATCATAAAGCGGTTTTATACACATTATGCATTTCTGAATGATTAAAAAGCTATCATTCATTCGTCCCTTGCTTTCTACCATATGCTGTTCTTTGTTCCGAAAGTGCCTAACCTCATGAAATGTTTACATTAGCCCTGTTTCCATGGTTACTGAACACAGTAGCATAGAAATCCAGATCTGCTGCGAAGTTAATGAACAATAGTGATAGATCAATTGGATGCAACAATATACTTTTTAAAAGATCTGTTTACTAACAACTTGATTGGTTTTCAGTCTGACAGGACATGGATAGAGATGTCCCGAACAGTTCGCCGGCGGACAGTTCCCGGCGAACATCGCATGTTCGCGTTCGCCACGGCGGGCGAACATATGCGATGTTCGGTCCGCCGCCTATTCCATATCATTGAGTTAACTTTGACAACCCCCCCACCCGCCGCGGGGGGGGGGGTTATCAAAGTTAACTCAATGATATGGGGGGGGACCTACTGTCCTCCCCCCGGCCCCCACCCCTGAGCGGTGGGTGGGGGCCCTAAAAAAAACAATAGGGGGAACTTCTGTCCCCCCCCGGCCCCCACCCCTGAGTGGTGGGTGGGGGCCCTAAATACTAAGAAGGGGGGGACCTAATGTCCTCCCCCCTGGCCCCCACCCCTGAGCGGCGGGTGGGGGCCCTATATACTAAAAGGGGGGGGGGACCTAAGGTCCTCCCCCCTGGCCCCCACCCCTGAGCGGCGGGTGGGGGCCCTAAATACTAAAATGGGGGGGGACCTAAGGTCCTCCCCCCTGGCCCCCACCCCTGAGCGGCGGGTGGGGGCCCTAAATACTAAAATGGGGGGGACCTAAGGTCCTCCCCCCTGGCCCCCACCCCTGAGCGGCGGGTGGGGGCCCTAAATACTAAAATGGGGGGGGGGACCTAAGGTCCTCCCCCCTGGCCCCCACCCCTGAGCGGCGGGTGGGGGCCCTAAAAAAATTTTTCCCCCACCCCCCAGGTGACTAGGGGTCCCCAAACCCCTAGTCATCCCCTCCCCCCAAAAAAAACCATTATCCCCCTACCTACCCCCCTCACCCTAAAAATAATAAGGGGGGGCACCTTTAACTAAGTACCTGTAAAATGAAAAAAAAACAACTTACCATTCGATGTTTTCTTTCTTCTAAATCTTCTTTTTTCAGCCCCAAAAAAGGCCAAATAAAAAACCATAATAACCGACGCAATTAAAAAACAAACAAAAAAAAACCGAGCGCAAAAAAATAATAATCCATCTTTACCCGGTGAGGGCTCCGCGCAGACTGAGCTCTGCAGGGCGGGGAAAGGCTTATAAAGCCTTGCCCCGCCCTGCAATTAGGCTCAGAGCACTCTGATTGGTGGGTTTAAGCCATCCAATCAGAGTGCTCTGACAGGTAAATGAAGAGACTGACAGGTAAGTCTCTACATTTACCTGTCACAGCACTCTGATTGGTTGGCTTGAAATCCACCAATCAGAGTGCTCTGTGTCATTTTACACAGCGTGGGAAAGTTCTGTGGAATTTTCCCACGCTGTGTAATTTGACTCATAACTCTTTGATTGGTTGCTTAATCCACCAATCAGAGTGTTATGAGTCAAATTACACAGCGTGGGAAAATTCCACAGAACTTTCCCACGCTGTGTAAAATGACACAGAGCACTCTGATTGGTGGATTTCAAACCAACCAATCAGAGTGCTGTGACAGGTAAATGTAGAGACTTACCTGTCAGTCCCTTCATTTACCTGTCAGAGCACTCTGATTGGATGGCTTAAACCCACCAATCAGAGTGCTCTGAGCCTAATTGCAGGGCGGGGCAAGGCTTTATAAGCCTTCCCCCGCCCTGCAGAGCTCAGTCTGCGCGGAGCCCTCACCGGGTGAAGATGGATTATTTTTTTTTTGCGCTCGGTTTTTTTTTGTTTTTTTTAATTGCGCCGGTTATTATGGTTTTTTATTTGGCCTTTTTTGGGGCTGAAAAAAGAAGATTTAGAAGAAAGAAAACATCGAATGGTAAGTTGTTTTTTTTTCTTTTTACAGGTACTTAGTTAAAGGTGCCCCCCCTTATTATTTTTAGGGTGAGGGGGGTAGGTAGGGGGATAATGTTTTTTTTGGTGGGGAGGGGGTGACTAGGGGTTTGGGGGGAAATTTTTTTTAGGGCCCCCACCCGCCGCTCAGGGGTGGGGGCCGGGGGGGAGGACATTAGGTGTCCCCCCCTTTTTAGTATTTAGGGCCCCCACCCGCCGCTCAGGGGTGGGGGCCGGGGGGAGGACCTTAGGTCCCCCCCCCCCTTTTAGTATTTAGGGCCCCCACCCGCCGCTCAGGGGTGGGGGCCAGGGGGGAGGACATTAGGTCCCCCCCTTCTTAGTATTTAGGGCCCCCACCCACCACTCAGGGGTGGGGGCCAGGGGGGACAGAAGTTCCCCCCCTATTGTTTTTTTTAGGGCCCCCACCCACCGCTCAGGGGTGGGGGCCGGGGGGAGGACAGTAGGTCCCCCCCCCCATATCATTGAGTTAACTTTGCGCGGCGGGTGGGGGGGTTGTCAAAGTTAACTCAATGATATGGAATAGGCGGCGGACCGAACATCGCATATGTTCGCCCGCCGTGGCGAACGCGAACATGCGATGTTCGCCGGGAACTGTCCGCCGGCGAACTGTTCGGGACATCTCTAGTAGGGAATCTCTGAAATCTACGTTTGGAGAAAAATTCCCCGAACATAGACCAGCTCTCTAATGTGGGGGATCCCTTCAATCCCCATGCTAGAGAGCTGGTCGTAAGTGCGAGCAGTCGGAAAACAGGTAGGTCGTAAAGGGAGGACCACCTATATTATATACAATAAAAACATTATTTATGTGGCCTGCATAGAGAACTGCGGACATAATTCATATATATACAATTAATTAACTGCAGTAATAT